AAGTATATATTTAATTATAATTTATTAAATATATCTCAGTCTTGAATTTCCTTAAACAAACACACCACGCACGAGAAGTTGAAAGACATCTGCGTGACGTCGGTGTTCTAGTGTTAAGAAGTTCGTTGCACTCTCGCTTAAGCGAGAGGCAACTGGTGGTACGACTGCTTGAGCAGTCGACCAACCACCCAACCACCCTCGCACGCGAAGGTAAGACGGTATAACCGCTTCCTCGCTTGTGCATAAGGTGTGTGCTCGTAGTACGAGGCAACTTCATAGAAGTGCCCGTCTACAGTGTGGGATTTCGATGACACTACGTACGAACTACTCGACGTCACTGTTTATGGGGGCAATATTTCTTCTACTGAAGCCGTGGATTGGAAGCCACTCTTCAATGCAAGCCATGCGTACGGTGTCAGTTCGTTGAATAAATCAGAGATTTCTCGCTTTGTGGAGCGTGCAGCAGCAGACGCAAAGCTTCTGGAGCAATATTACTTCAACTCCAGGGCCGAGTCGCATCTCCAATCCTCACGTACCGATGTATCATGCCAAGCTGAGTGGTTGTGTTCAATGTACTGGTGGTCGACAGCGGGAGACTACGAAGCCTGTGTGTCATCCACCAGGGCATTCAAACTAAAGTGTACATCTATCATCCAACACTCAAGCACGTCTGTTAAAGCGATCGTCTTTTGACAGGTTGCAAGGTGTTGAAGGCAAGGGTTATAACCTGTTCCGGTAGGTTGCGACCGCACCCGAAATGGCTAATGTTGTGACATCTTAACAGATGTGGCGAAGCGGGATAGACGAAGACTACAGGCTAGACATGGTATAGTCGCAGTTGACTCTACCGTACATGTAAAAGCACTAGCGAAGGAGAGTAGTTAATGCTTAATATATTTCACTTTTACTTCTACCTCTACGTGCACAAGTGCACCACTCCTTCACTCCACTCTTACAGGTTATGAGCCCAAAGGAACGTGTTGTGGGCAAGCCCAAACAGGCTATGCCTAACGTGGCAGTCGGCGACCCTAATCGGGTTAACAACGACCACCTCGAAGAAAAGTCGGCAGTGCCTGATGCGGCACTGGGCAAGGTGCTTGCCATGCTCGGAGACCTATCTGATCGACTGAATCGGATGGAGGTCTCCCAGAAGGAGCATGCCGGTGGACACCGGAAGGACTCTGCGGAGTCAAGTGTCTTTGGTTCGGCTCGGGGAGAGGGTGGAGGGATGAACATCCAGGCCTTGGAACTTATTCCTCCCCGGAAGAGGTCACCGAACGACGTGTCACCGGCTACGTACTTTGGAGACAGGCGACACTACGAAGCTGATGATGCAAATCATCGAGCAGGCCATGTTGCAGCAGACCGCAACATGGGACAAGCACCGGAACCTGCAAATTTTATGGCAGGGGTGCCAGGCTATTCACCGGCGCGGGTATGCCGAACGTGATGCATGCCAACCTAGGACAACAGGTTGTGAGGATGCCAGAAGCGCAACATCGGAAGCTTGCACTACAACCTTTTGATGGGAAGGAACTATACCATGGCCTTGGTAGTGGTTTCCTCGGATGGGGCAAGGAATTTGTGCGTCAAGTTGGTTTTGCCGAGCGTGCGTGTGGATTCACGTGGCCGGAAGACATCAAGGAGGATGTCTTAGGACAACACCTGGCCGGTAAGGCACAGACGTACTATCGTCGTCAAGTGGAGACTTGGTGGTTTGAAAGTCAAACCCTGGAGCATGCTATGCAAAGGCTGCTTCAGACCTTCAGCACCAAAATCACGCCTGCCCAAAGCATGAAATTGTTTACGGCTCCCAAGGCACCTCACAGAAGTTGGACGGACCAATTCCTGTACCTGACGGCAGTCAGTGATGCTTGCAAAGGGTCAGATACCCTGGTGTTGGATAACATCGTCCATTACGCGGACCCGCATATGCGAATGACCATGATGTCCAGGCTGGACATTCATCGAACCGACTGCTTGCGCCAAGCCGAGGAATTGGCACAGTTCGCCCAGTCAACGGAGATTGACAACCACGCGAAGCATCTCGGACGTGACGTGGTCAATGCTGTTGGACCAAGGAAGGAGCCAAGAGACAAGGTCAAGCACAAGGTGCTGAAAGAATCGAATGACAATGACCAACGGACGTGCTACAGGTGCGGCGAGGCGGGACATATCAAGTCGATGTGCCCCAAGAGACAGATGTCCAAGGTCCCAAGACCAAGTTTTACATTTGCGATCGACAATGGTGATCGTCTCCAAGACAATCACTGGATCCTCGACAGTGGGTCGAGCAGACACCTTGTCAACGACTTGTCTCTGCTCGTCAACCCGAGCGACTGTCGAAAAGAATTCTTGACAGCTGCAACAGATGGAGGTGTGCTCCGGATTACCAAGCAAGGGAGTGTCAACATTGAAGTTGTTGCACTCGGGGTTGTGAATACTATTCGACTCCTCGATGTACAGTACGCCGCGAACCTCGAGCGAAACATCATCTCGTACGGTAAGCTCGAGGCTACTTGAGTATCGAGGAGGGAGACGTGTGTTAATGCCAGTCTCGAGCAGGGGCTCTGGGTTTGGAGGTGCATCGGTTATGGATGTGGATTGCAATAACAATGTGCTAGTTGTTGCAGTGACAAGGACCATGCAACAAGACCTTACATTTACCACCAAGGGAGATGACGGCTGCGATCAATTCACCTGAATATAAATCCGATTCGGATGTTCAGAGTGGTACCTTGATGCAATTTCATCGTCGCTTGGGTCACCTGTGTTACGAAACGATCATCAAGATGGCCAAAGACCCGGCATCTGGTATCAGGCTGACTGACACGAGGCGCATGCATTGCTTGGCCTGTGCACAAGGCAATCAAACCAAGGCATCACAGTCAAGGAAAGACTCAGGCCAAAATTATCCCATCGATGTGATCGGTGGAGTAATTTGCTCCGACCTCAAGGGCCCAATGACTCCAAGGGATCGTCTGGGTAACCGTTACCTGGTCAATTTCATAGACCACAGGTCAAATTATTGCCGTGTGTTCTTGGCCAGATCTAAGGATGCTGCTACCCTCAAGTTCAAGCACTTCCTGGTGAGCTTTGAACGAGAGTTCAATTGCAATATCCACGTACTACGCACGGACGGAGGTGGTGAATACAAGACCTTGGACGTGTTTTGTAAGGCGAATGGAGTCTCGCGTCAAGTCAGTGAAGCCAGAAATCAGGCAAGTAACGGCAAGGCTGAACGGATGCATCGTACAATTATGAATATGGTCCGAAGCATGGTGTTTACTTCAAACCTGCCTTTGCATTTCTCCCTTCGGGTTGGGAGACCTTTTGCTGGCTGCCTTAGCACCAGCAGCTACCTTGGCATAGCAGCGAGCCATCATATGGACTCGCTTGCCGCACTTGTAGCAGATCACATCTGCATTGCCTAACTCCATAGGAGTGGCATCAGACTTCTCGGACGACGGCTTGTAATAGGCTGTCGCCGAGGCGCTGTTGCAGGATTGCTCCTCAACTAAAACAATGTCAATTGCCTCTTCCATCGTCGCTGGCACCTTTCTGAAAAGGGCCTGACGCGATGGGCCATGCCTAAGTCCATTCATGAACGTGGCTACCTTAATACGCTCTGGTATCGGTTCCCCATTGATGGACGCCGACAGCGAACGCATCTCCTGCACAAACTCTTGCAGAGAGCGTTTCGCCTGTCGTGCTCCAAAGAAGCGCGCCATAAGCAACACTTCGTTGTTAGGCGGCTGATACATGGCGCGAATCTTTGCCTTAAAGATCGCCCATGATGGAAATGCATCAGCATTTGCCATCAACGCAGAGTATGCCCACTCTGACGCTTTGCCACGCAAGTTGGACATGGCATACGACACCATTCTGGTGTCGTCTTCGATGAGCTGCGCCACTCCACATTGCTCCACTGCTAATAGCCAGTGAACAATCGTGTGAGGGCTAGTTCCATCGAACTTCGGAGGGTCCATCCGAATGGGCCTCGGTTGAGCAGGCCGGGCAGAGAGCGTCTCAACAGTTCTGTTGAGCGCCTCATTACGTGCCTGCTCAAGCCTAAGCTCATCCTGGGTCTTAGTGATGGACTCAGCGGTGGCTTGGCTGTTTACCTCGGACGCGTTTCTACGCTGTCCGAGCACAAACGACTCAAATTGCTCCAACTGAGCAACATGTTGCTCAGGAGGACAATGCAAGAGATTGACCAGGGCTTGTTCACCAAGTCCCTGCGCCATATGCTCTGCCAACTCCCTATGATGTTGAGAGAGGTGAGGGAAGTCACTCCAGTCCATATTAAGGACCATGTCAACCACACGCACGCTCAGAGAGACGGGTCGTGGGAAGGACTACTAGTGCTACCAAGTGTAGACGGGCACTTCTATGAAGTTGCCTCGTACTACGAGCACACACCTTATGCACAAGCGAGGAAGCGGTTATACCGTCTTACCTTCGCGTGCGAGGGTGGTTGGGTGGTTGGTCGACTGCTCAAGCAGTCGTACCACCAGTTGCCTCTCGCTTAAGCGAGAGTGCAACGAACTTCTTAACACTTAGAACACCGACGTCACGCAGAAGTCTTTCAACTTCTCGTGCGTGGTGTGTTTGTTTAAGGAAATTCAAGACTGAGATATATTTAATAAATTATAATTAAATATATACTTAACTACTGATTGGCTATATATATATATGTACAGATCGGATACGCGACTCTTTAGAAGCGTATCCTGTCGCATGATCTTAAATCTAGATTTAAGATCGCAACTGACGTCCTTCTGAGACGTCGTGATGCCTAGCTTCAACTAGCGTCATCCCTTCTCATGTGAATCCATCAATGGATATCACATTCACGAGGGTGGATCACATTTGTGTATCGCACCCAAGTGACAGGTCAAAAGTAATCATGGATACTTTTAGACCAAACATTAAGTATATTACTTAATGTTTACGTGTAACTAGGTACCCTGTTACACACACCATGAACGCTGGATTGTTCAAAACATTGGGGAAATTGCCGCCGCCATGAACAACGGCACCAGTTCGGAGCTGTCTGCATAGTCATCATTCACGGTCACTCCGTATTGCTGGAATTGTGCACTCAGGCTGCTTGTGAGAGGCAGCCGGAACTCGATGCTGTGGATGTGACCGAAGAACTGTGCCTTGATAATATCCGTGTACTGGCTTACAATCCACTTGTACGTCTTGATGTAAGTCTCATTCCACATAGGTGACCCACTGTACGAGTCGATAATGGGCGGAATATGGCCAACGATGTATGCCAACTTGCCAGCACTCTTCAATCCAGACAACGTAGCATTCAACCATGTAAACTGTTCAAATTGGTCGGGCACATTCGATGTATATGGTAAGTGACTCGGCTGTATGAACGTCAATAGAGACAATATGTCAGGTTGGTTAGTAGCAGATCAAGTGCTTTGAACCTCAAGAACTTACCGAATAAGGCAGTGTATTGAGTGTGGGCACGGTCAGGTTGTCGTCCAAGGCGTATGCTAAGTATCCACAATGATTGAACCACTCGAGGTTCGACTTGGACATGGTCTTCTTCCAAGCACTAGAGATTAATGCAATTGCCGGGTTTTCCTCCGTCTGCGGGTTCGTCACTTTCATCGTGTAGTCGGGGCCTCCACATTGTTCACGATCATTCAAGTCAGTCAAGTAAACAAGTTCGTTTTACTCGTTGAACTCCAAAACTAAACGCACTGGTGTCAGCGTTGCCTATGATGGCAGTGATATCCAGCATCATATCACTGTCTAGTGTCGAATAATATCTCGCCATCGTCTCGACGTTCTTCTCAACAGCTTTAACGAGGTACTCGTCCGATAGTTCTCCGTGCACAACGTGATCTCCTGTATAGAGAAAAAAGTCTGGATTGGGTAGCAACTTCTTAGCGTACTCCAAAGCCGACACCAACAAACTCATTGGTGCGTCATCACCGTAGGCAATAGGAATCTTGATCGAGTCGCTATCGTTCAGCGAATTCGAAATATTGAGATGCACGTCGGACAAGTGCAAAATGTGACGTACCATTGTCCTCCCAACAGTTTCGTCCGTTCCGTTAATATCACGACACGCGCTTTCCATAGCTTTGTGAATGGTAACGTCAGACTTGGACTCGGTTAATGGAATAGACGTCGATAGAATCAGTTAAAGCACTTGAAGTGACGATTCGAAATGCTACGCATGCAAGTAAATTCATAACGCAAGGAACAACCATCAAACTTGTTTGTTTGTGATAAGAAATTTATTGAAATGACATTATTCTTCGACAGGAATCAATTGAAAAGCATTTGACATGTGCTCGTGTCATTTGTTACTACAATCGATGATTCCCATGCAAGAAAAATATATATCGAACTATCATGTCCAATTGTCCTTTGATGCAGCCAGTCACATTAACATGACACGACTTTTGAACCTTTCAAAAACGTGTCGTTAAATCGGCTAAAAAAGGGTTTTTTCGTACACTCTATAAGTTAATAAACACATCTGATTCTGTAAAATTCTGTGCATGGAGACGAGCCTCGTCTGAAGAACTTACTCAATTCTTAGCCAATGAGAACCCTCATAGATGTGCAACTGGATACCTCCTCTCGCTACTTCAATGACACCCAATTGGACCCCAGGGCTATGGAATTCTTTCGCCTCTCTCTTACTTGGAAGCTCAGTTTTCATTCATCCGTCAAGTGTCCAAGTAAGTTTTGAGACTGGTTTACAAATGGTCTACACGATTGTCGTTCATCTGTATGCGAAGGAGGGCAAAGAAGTCGAAGAGAAGATGCGCAACAAACTGATTGAAGCCTCGCAGGTGTACTCCAAGGACATTGAGACTATTGGCTGGCACGTCATGCAAGATCATGAGGATCCGCGAAAGTGGTGCATTGTCGAGCGTTACGAGCACGAGAGCAGCCAAAAGTACCACTTGGAGAACCCGTACTGGAAAACATTCGACCCGTACGTCATGCCGCTACTGGACAAGCCGATGGACTTGCGTCGTTTTCACGAGCTGGACACGAGCAAGCCTGTGCATGTCGAATAAACGTCCACAATAATTGTCATGGAACAAGCACTGATTTGTCAGTCAAGCGGATGTCATCGCCTTATATCGATGCCTAGGTAAAGGGTGTTAGCAGTTGTAGAGCCATTGCTGACGACTTGAAGCCCTGCTACATTGTCATACGACCACGAGCGAGTATAAATGCAAGAAACGTTAATACATGCTGCACGTTGTGCTTGCTTTTGTTAAGAAGGAGTGAAAGTGTTGCATTGTATCCAATTAAGCTTGAAGTGTGTGGAACTGTAAGAGGTGAGTTGAGGCAGACAACTTGTTATACTACAAGCCATGCGCTGGTACACGGTGTCAACAACACCAGACCACATCCAGTATGGCTTACACACTCTAATGTACCAAAAATGGTAGGATATGATCCGCAACAAGCTCACCGAAGTTTGACGAGTCTTTGGTCGGTATATGTCCACTGAGACCGCAACAAATGGACCACCGTCGAGCTCTACAAAGAAGGTAGATTGATCCGGAGCGAAGAAAGGCAGAGAGTGTAGACGCGAAAGTCAAGCAATCAGCCAAAGTGATACGCAACGCACCGTGCACGCGAGCCATTTAGCGAATGACTTTTTCCTGTACCAGCTACTCGTCGACATCCGATATCGTTGCAGGCTCTTTTCAAACCAACGAATTGGTTCGTACACTTCTCAAATGTTGAAAGCGCAAAGCGAGGCTTCAAGGAACACAAGCAATCGACATGGCAAGTGCTGCAATCGATAACCTGTGCTCATGTTTAGCGGACTGTTACGAAGCCGTAAGATTTTCGAGGCACTTGGCGATTGACACTCGATATACGTTCGTCCCATGCATTGTTGTCTTGCGCCTTGATGACTTGTGGAGGTGAAGTTCCACAAAACTCGGGTCTACAATCAGGTTACCTGCCACGTCAAGTGAAATTTCAATTCCTACATGCTGGTAGAGTCCCCACTGCCAGTTAACAATTGTAAGCAAAGCAAGATGTAGCGTTAACACTTCACGCATCAGCCATGCACAGTATTACGTACAAATTTTGGCCATCCTGGTACAATATCGCCATCCATGACCACGCGGTAGCTTGTAGACACAAAGCTATCGTAGTGCTGACGAAAACTTGGATTACCAACTCGCGGACCACCGAAGTTGTACATGTTGACTTTGATGCTGAAATTCACTGCAAGGTCATAGGCAGCCAAAACTGCAAGAGCACCACCCATGCTGTGGCCTGTAACATATACTGACACACCGGGATTTTCGTCAAGAATGAGCCGTGTCAATTCCTTAAGTTCATCTCGAATCGAGTCGTAGGCAATCCAGAACCCTGCATGATAAAAGCACGAACCATCAAATCAGATTCTTCCTTAAGTGCATACCATCAAACGAAAGAAAACTGTTACCTCGGTGGACCCGTGGCAATGCCATGTTAAGTAATGGGATTTTTGCTGCAACATCCTTTACTTTTTCAAGCCAAGACTTTCTCCAGCGCAGTCCTCGAGACTTTATCCACAGCACTTTTTGGTCTGCACGAAGGTTGCTCTTCCAGTTTTCTTTGCTGGTTGTGCCTCGGAATGATATAACGAGACGTTGATGGTCCTCTTGACTCCACGCGACGACTACATGTGTATCCGTTAGGTTGCTTCGCAATTGAGTAATGAGCTCAAAACCATGTCGCTCAAGAGAAAGCTCGCCATATCCAGATGATGACGGGCATCCAGGGGGGTCAAAGTAAGCTTGATATGCCATTTCAAGCAGCCATTCAGCCGTTTCGACGCAAAACAAATTCGAGTCCGGTGTGAGGAAGCCGTAAGGGTCTACGCGTGGCTTCTCGTCGACGTGAAATGCCGTAGACACCAACAAGCCCGTACTGCCGCCTGCAAGCGGGGGCAGGTGCACAAACATGACTAGGCATACATATACAGACAAGAACAGGAGCTTGCCCAGCGACGGGTGGCCAGTGTGCATCTTGGCAAATGTATGTACTGCGTCCTGGATGAATGCATCGTGACCAATGAAGTACCAAGTTTCGGCCAGATAGAAAATCTGAAGAGCTGAGAGTACAAACACGTAGATGAAAATAAGAAGCGTCTCGAGTACGAGGAATCGGTACGATAATTGCTTGAAGCGAGTTGCCATGTACGGCAATGCCTTCAGATGCCGACCGGATCGTGCCCCAACTGACAGTATCCAAACTAGCCATACTAACACCAAACCCGTCCGAATAAAACCAAGAGCTACATAGAGCTCGTCATGATCAAAATCGAGCGCAGATGACGATCGTTCCACTCTAAAAAATAATTCGGGCATTCGCAGCACAGTCATACCCGTGTCCACTGCGAAAAGTACCAAACCAAACATGAGCTTTGGAAGAAAAGAACATCGTCGAGTACCAATGCTGTGCTGGTCCATAAGACTCAGCCAAAAAATGTAGAAAAAAGCCTCTGCGAACGACTGGCACGTGATCGACACAAACTGAGTGCGTAAACTCACAGAAGTATACAGCTCAGAGACGGCGTACACTGGATTCTGCCACAGCACGAGCACAATGCCAACGCCCAGCAACCACTTTTGCACAGTAAGCACTTGACTCCATGATCCACTATGAAAGTTTAACACTGAAATGAACCAGCAAGGAAGTGTCAAAAGAGATGCCAGCAATAGTAATCCGCGAAAAACGACTTCGCCAACGTGAATTGCTGGCTTTCTGCGAAACATTAATAGCAAGCTTAGCCCCCGTGCAATTATATAAACAAGTGGGGACTCCATCAAAGCTGGACGTACGTGTACGCAAACTGATAAACCACATCCTTGCCGAATGCATTCGGATATAGTCCTTTGAAGGTCACGACAGCATAGTATGCATCATATCCACATCCACCCTGTAGAAACATACATTAAAAATGCCAGTTAGCTATGCAAATATTAGCAAGTAATACACATCTATTCTTGCCAATTGGTCGACATCTTGTGTTATCTCAAGCAGCCTCACACTTTCACATGGTCCTCCTGTTCGACACTTTACCCAGACACTTTGATTGCGTTCATCTACGACGAGATCCTTTGCGATCGGTGTCATATCGTGTCGAATTCCATATAGTTCAACATCATAGAGCAAGACATAGCCTACATCTTGATAGCCTTCTTTCTCCATCTCCAAGATACTCACTGCTTTATCGTTTATTCTAGTCTTGATGCTGTGTACATCTCGACTTATTGTCCAAATTGTTCCTGCTTGTTCCAAATGTTGATCCAAGGACGACACGAATGTCGTCGACATTGAAGTATTCATCTGTTCCCGAATAGCTAGTTTGATCTCAATAGAGCCAGCATATCTCGATACATTGGCCACATTGGCTGTCCATGTGGCAATATTTTTTGTCTTGTCCACTTGAATACAAGGCTCTTGTTTAAGTTGATTTTGACATATATCTCCTGGTAATGTCACGGCCTAACAGTTAAATTAAAGTACACAAAGATGTCATCTCAGAATCAGAAAAAATAGTCTATCATATATAATCACATTCTGATTCCACGTACCGTTTCCAGGTATCCTTGACTCTGTAGATAGGGTAGAGCTATTGCTAAGAGAAAGGATAAATACGTGATCCAGATCACGGCTGTAGCAGCTCGCGATGATAACGTCTCTAATCGAATCTGCGGGTCCAGTCCATTTTTCTGATTCTGAGTCTGATCCGAATCGGTGGTACGAGCCTCTTTTCGTAATAAAGGTGCATCGGATAATATCGTCGGAAGGCGCGAGTGCATCTCGTACGAGTCACGGAAAAGATCTGATGATGCATAACCTCTAGTCTGAAACAGTAGTGGACGATACACGCGCTCATTGTTAGCATCCTCCTCCTTCCGAGCTGCGTCACGCATCATGAATCTGATGACAAGAAGAATCTGATGCAAGTACGAAATTAGCGTGATTTTTTACCAATGAGAAGGAAGAGACAGGTTTCGACTAGCGAGTTCATGTATAAGACGTCATGTTGAAGTTGCCGTCAACTGATGTCAAAATATTGTCGAATGTGTTCCCAATGTGTCTTAGAGTTGTAAAAAAGACTTTTGGTCGGTGGTAGTCAAAGCATTTGAAGTCATGGCCCAAAATACGAAGAGCAATGAGCAAAGAATAATTAGTGCACAAAGATTAATAAAAAGTACTTAATGTCAGTATTAATAGAAGAATACAGCGGTAGGAAGCTGAAGCTTGGCAAAATGCAGCACCAGCGATTACTAATTGCTGGATGGACTGAAGTTTTAGACGGTTTTCCTGCACAAATCGAGTCAACTCGTGCATTTCTTAGGGCATGGCGTTTGGATCGAGTGACATCACATCCTCAATGGCTTAGTCTCAGGCTAAAGAGCGTTCGCGTACACCATTTCGATAGATAGAGATCTTCTATTGTACGCAAAAATGATCATAATAGACACAAGACAAACAAGCAAATACATAAACGAGCATGATGCAGATACCTAAGACTCATGTACGTTACTTACAAATTTATGGACTTAATGACGTTTGATTGTATTTTAATATGCTCGGTATATCGCCTCTTATAGATCATACAGTATTACATGAACCAGTGCGACGGTTTGGATCAAATACAATAAAGCTACAGTATCAGTCGTAGAAAACAAATGCTCGTCCTTGCGTTGCTTACTTGTACTACGTTGTTTATATCGTCGACGTCTGCGGCATCTACAGGCCGTATCTTGCACTTTTCGGACGTCCATTTGAATATTTCGGAACCGGTCTCCTCTATCGACAAGACCCGTCTTCCCATCCGTTATTTTGCCGACGCACCATTGACACTTCTCGAGTCTGCGCTGGCTTACGCTAAAGAACACGTGGTGGACATTCCGGACATTTTCCTGTACACGGGGGACCACACGGCACATGGAGACTTTACTGATGACTACATTGCAAAAGCCGTGCAGAAAAATGTCCGTATGATGGAGAGTTATTATCCCCCAAAGGACAGGATGATGCTGGAGGCTACAGCCATTATTGGCAATGCTGATGGAAGTAAGATAAAGAAAAGATAAGCAATATCTATACTTTGTATGCGAGCTGACCTAATTTGTGGTGTATTAATCGATGGCAGACCCGGACTATCACATGGAGGTGACGGACCCAGAGACTGAGACAAACCCATCCATTAAACTCATCTCGGAGGTGTGGGAGGATTCACTCTCGGCTGTAAACATCGATATGCTAAATCGACGTGGATATCTGAGCTATGCACTCGATGACAAGCTACACGTGATCACGCTCAATACTGTGCCATACTCGGTAGGATAGGCCTATACCATTGAGAGCGAGTTGGTACAATGGCTGACGATTTTGTTGTTGTTGAAAACAGCCGAGTCATTCGCCAGACACGTCAAACCAGCCGGATCCATTTGGACAATTTGCCTGGCTGGACAAGACGCTTGCTGGGCTGCAGAATGCTGGCAAGTTTGCATACATTGCTGGTCACATTGCTCCGATCGTGGGCTCATACGGGGGTAATTTACAGTGGCACACGAAGTACATTGTCAAGTACAAGAGTGTTGTTGGCAAGTATGCCGATGTCATCAAGGCCCAATTCTTCGGTCATATCCATAGTGTCGAGTTTCGTGTACCTGTGATGTCGCTCGATGAGGCTGTCAGCGAGGACGACACCTTTGAGCTGCCGCCGATGTACATTACGGGCTCTATCTCGCCGATTTTTGGCAACAACCCATCCTTCATGGTATGGGAATACGATACGGAGACGTACAAGGTGTTAGACTACGCCGTGTACGGATCTGACATCGGGGAAAGCGAACCTCAGCTCGACTGGAAGCTGCTGTTTAAGGCGAGCGAGGATTACGGTCTAAAGTCTTTATCTCTGATGGAGCTTTCGGCCTTCGTCCAACGTGCAGAACGAAATTTCAGTTTGGTGGAGAAATACTACTGGAACATGAAGGCACGTTCGCCCAATGCTCGACCTTGCAAGGACGCAGTCTGTCTTTCAAAGACATTGTGCACGCTCAAGTGGTGGAACACTAAGGACGAGTTTCTGGTCTGCATAGACACGGCCCAAACGCTGATCGCTGGTCTTGTGGATGGCAACGATGCAACTGAGATTTCTATGTCGACTGCTGACGTAGCAGCAGCTTCCTCCAGCACCTTGCAGAGCAATTTCGCACTCAAAGACGTGCTGCTCACGATCGGAACGACAGCACTAGCAACCGTCGTTGCAATAGCATGCGTTGTATTGACCATTTACGGACTGAGACGTAGTGGAATCCTCGAAAATCGCGGGGCGTACGATACCGTGACTAGACTCGAGAGATAAAACTCTAGCTTCCATTCTGTCACAAAACAGGGAAAGGTGTGAATAACAGTAGTGCATTTGTTATGATTCTGTGAAGCAAGCACCAGCACATTTGCCCTGTTTTAACCAAGTTTACATCATGCTCACATGAGCTTAAGGTGTCCCGAGATCTCATCAACGGCCTTCACCGGTGCAGGGCCAATGCTTAACACCGTCTTACTATCCGGTGCAATCTGCGTCCGACCAGCATCAATCTACCACACGAAAACGCAGCACCATATCAGCAAATATCTCTTCATTCTCACTCACTTTTTCAACCAACCACAATGTAGTGAACAAGTCCATGTTCCGCTGCCTTCTCAGCCAGAACAAGCATTTCTTCCTCCGAGTCTACTTTGAGACATACTTTAGCTTGACCAAGCATTTCCCAGGCACGAATAGCATCCGGTGTCCGTTTTAGTGCTCGTTTGTATGCTCCTAACGTCGCATGGCAGCATTGTGCAGCGATTTTACCTAAATTTGCATTATTTTATCACATTAGTGTTTTTTACCCAAATGTTAGACCTATAATCAGAAATCAACCTTTGCCCATTTTTAGGTCCGTGCGTACACACATGACCATTTTGTGAGGCACCCAACTCGCTGAATCTGCGCCTTCCCAGTCGTCGGAGCTGTCAGAAGAAGATCGTGGTGACACTCCAGAGGAAGATCCGGCGGGCGTTTTATTCTCGTTGCCATTGTTATTGCTTGTATTATGGTCTTTAGTGGATAACGAGCCGCTACTCGGCAAATGCGATGAGATGAAATAATGCGTCACAGCACCCAGCAGGAATGCCGTCGTACACTTCCACGCGACGTCCTCCATCACGTTATATGTTGTGTGACCAGATAGATATTCGATTACAAAAGGATTGTATACAGATAAAGATGTAATTTGTGTATAGATAAAAATGTAATTTACAGTACCGTAATTAACTTTAAGAGGGAGCGCTCACACCTACATTTCTACCCTATTTCTATATGTATAAACGCTTATACTTATAAATACCGATATCATTTCGACCTTACATTTCCAAATACAAAATGACGCCATAACACTGGCTAAAATTATGTTTTGCGCTCTAAAAAAGAACCCATTCCTGACCGCTCGTTCAGAACCCCCTCAGTTTTAGTGCATAATTAAAAATGGTACGTAATAAACGACCTCTGGAAGCTCATCATGCACTAATGCTACATCCCTTTCTAATATGATACCTGTAGTCACTTCTTAACAAAGGATCTCGTATCGTGACCCAGTCGCTCCGTACTGGTGCTCGCCACATGTCCGGCGCGACCGAGCAGGAAGCCAAAGGTCTGTTCTCTCTCTTGTTTGTCCTCTTATATTGTTATAAATGTTGACTTTATGATATCACTGTCTTTAAAATAGAGCAAATGCACCGATGGACTACCATTTCCAAGGTCATGATTGGTTTTACGGCTGTATACACGGTATACGCCATCGGTGATCACTTGAGACACGAGCATCACGACGAAGACAAGCCGGAATATCCGTATCTCAAGATGCGCACGAAACCCTTTCCATGGCCTGAATCAAACTGCGACTTTCTGGACCGGGAGTGCCGAGCCAAAGCCCGTGAGGCTAAAAAGGCTCTTAACTAAAGCCACATGAAGGAACACACACGTCGTCGTCTTTGATGAAGGAGAATCGAGGTCGACTATGGAGTCATCCTTGGGTTGAATAAAGGTGAAAAAAAGAAAAAGAAAACCCATTAAAACGTCGTTTAAACAATAACCCATTACATGGATCACTTTCCGGATACCAGTATACGTACTGGTATACTATACGTACTCCACCTCTTGTCATTATGAGTCCTCAGACCAAAAAATGAACTTACCTACATGCGTGGTAAATGTATACAATCCATAGTAAATTCAACTCTATTCTGATTTTATATGCTTTTTTCTCGCTTTTACACGTGTAGATTTGTGGTCGTTATGGTGAATATATTTGTGATGCGACAGATGAAGATGTTTGTAGTCTCAAATGTCGCGATATGTGCCTCTCCAGACGTAATTCTACCACTCAAGAGCTGCTGGAAAAACAACAACAAGAAGAAGAAGAATTGAAATGGTCGGAGGAATTTCGACGGAGTTTGGGTATGAAACTCTCAATGGGATCAACAAGTGAGACAATTCTTGACAATGGAACACATTCGTGGCCACTTCCACTATTGGACTTTGAACAAATACAGGAAAACGCCATTGGACTGCCCAAGGAACTTGCAAATAATCTCATTGCAAATAAATTTAAAAGACCGACACCTGTGCAGATGCAAGTGATTCCTTGTGTACTACAGGGACACCATGTATGTGGGATCATAAAGAGGATGAGCTGAGGTTGTGATTTTACCTGATTCCTTTTTGTTGTTGTTTCTGGTGTTTACAGGTTTTGGTGAGTGCTCCTACTGGAACGGGAAAAACAGCATCGTACCTGATTCCAGCAATTGCTCAAGTCTTACGTGCTAGGGAAAAGAAGGAGGAGATTATGGCGTTGGTTCTGGCGCCTGTACGAGAGCTGGCAATTCAGATTGAGACGGTGGCCAAGTTATTGATGCGGGGCATTTTTGATATGAAGACGGCGTTAGTAGTTGGTGGGTTTCCCATTCCGACGCAACGTTATCGTCTTCAAAGCGGAAATCAGTTGATTGTGGCTACACCTGGTCGATTCTTTGACATCTTTACAAATTACAGCGGCGGTGACGCGATTCTTTCGACTATTCGAACCTGTATAATTGATGAGGTGGATATCATGCTAGACGTTGGCTTTCGAGCACAGATTACGCAGATTGTGGCGCTGTTTGCTGCATTTACTGGGAAACACCACAATGGCGTCCAACTGCTTTTCTTTAGCGCGACCATATCGGACGAGGTTGAAGCGTTGGTGCGGCAGGTTTTAAAAATCCAAAGCAAACAAGCTTACCTTCGCGTTGATGTTCGAAGTGGCTGCGTGACAAGTTCTGGGACACCGAGTATAGCGTTAAATACGAGTGTTAAGCAGCAACTCCGATGGGTGGTAGACAAAGCAAAGAAGGACGAGTTGTTTAAGTTTTTGAAAGGAAGAGGAGAAGAGTCGACGGTACGTGCTGATCGTGACAAACTTCGAGTGAATTGTGGTTTGACCTCATCTGCTTCAATTGTAACTGTAAGATCGTCTTTGTAGGATCAAAGCTCGGTGCGACTTTGCTAGCAGAAGCGATCGCAAAGCGTTGTGGAATTGGTGCAGCGGCGATTCACGCCGATAAAGCTCAGCAAGAAAGACTTCGTCTGCTAGAGGCTTTTGTGAATTTGGAAATTCCTGTTCTCGTGTCCACAAATGTGCTGAGCCGAGGCATGGATTTGTTAAACGTTGAGAACGTGGTGGTGTATGACTTTCCCAAGAAAATTACGGAGTACGTTCATCTTATTGGTCGTACCGGACGTGGAGGCGATGTGGCTGGAAACGCTCTCACGCTCGTGAATCTGGAAGACCGTTCGCTTTTCCGGGAGCTTGTCCCTTTATTGCGTCAGGCTAAAGTACCAGTGCCCCGAGAAGTGTATCAGAGCATTCATTCTGAAGATACCAAGAAGCGTGCTCGTTCTAATGAAGCTGTGATCGATGAATCGAAGCGGGCTTTCCGAATTCGACAGCAACTGAGCGACAACACTAACAAAATAGCATCAAAGTGGAAAGAATGGGATAAGCAGGGCCGTAAGCGGCTGAAGGCAATGCCGTGACAGGCAAACGATAAATGGGAAAGGGGATGCCGGTGATATTATCGTTTTTAATCGATGCAGTACACTCCATACCATCGAGGAAAACGGTATCGATCGAGCAAGTATTGATTGGAGCAAGTAGTAGCTGGAGAGTTCTTAGGAGCAGTGAATCCCTTTTACCTTGGGCTTTAACATTCAAGTAGCTCGAGAGTGCTGAAGCTGCTAACACTATGTGAGTTGCTTGCCTTGGCTAATGCAGACATCTGGAACTTTCCTCTAATGTATTTGCGCTCATCTAGGGCATGATCGGTATCAACTTGAAAAACAACGACATTGATGCCAATGTCGATATGGCTGGTGAGGCAGGTCTCGCTTCATATTAAAGAGAATGAAGCAAGCGTGTGCTATATAATGTGGATAAATCACGAGAAGCAAGAGCATGAAAAGAAGTACGCAATACAACATGGACAAACACCGCGACTTTCATCTTATTCGACTGTCTTACAGGACGACGGAGGTGGCGCAACCAGTACGTGCGCTAAAACGGCCGTTTGAGCGTATTCTTGGCCCGATCGGATGTCGACGCATACTGGGCCACCCAGCACCCGAAGCCCACTAACTACAGCTAAAAACTCGACCCAAATGATTTTTGAAGTCTGTGCTTCCATCACGCCGACATTCTGTTTCATACATACACCAAATCTCCAAAGTCAACTCAATGTATTAGCCCCAGACTAACACAACACTAGCATACCTGATGAGATATAGATGAACACACAATACCGTCCATCAGCTCTTTCCGAAACTGCAGTTGAAGTGTCAGACTTTGAAAAGATTTGTTCGTCAAGGATACAGCCACCAAAAATGGTTGTCCGACCACCACTTCCTTAGGAATCTCCTTAACAGCTACAACGACCTCGCCATCTTGTCCAGCGCCAGCTCCGGTGTGGCCATCAGCTCCAGGAGCCCTCCGCATCACTGGTTGGCTCTCCACCGACCCTGCTTCCCCCATCGATATTTTCCAACCGACATGAAGTCGGCCAAGATTCTGCGAACCCTGCAAACATGCACAAGTTTGTCAAAAGACACGCAGACTCGCAGCATCATTGATTACATTACCTGAGTCGTTAGTAACGTAGGATCCGATGCAGGATCGTACGAGACACGGAATACTCGTTGAAGTTCCTCCTGGGGGTAAACAAGTGTCTGCTGCCCGTTGTTGACTGCCATCAACTCTTGCATCGATGCTTGCTCCCCTTCCTGTTTGTCCACACTATGCACTTGCATCTCTTCCGATCTAAATGGCAGCAATGGTAAAAACTTGATATCATCCACAAAAAGCGGAAGTTTCGACACATTTCGAATCTGTGCTTCGACAATGGTCTCACTCTGTTGCTGCTGTAATGGCATCAACTTTTGCTTGAATGTAATAACCAAAGGGTTCTGTACTCCAAACCGGTAGAATTTGCGCAGCGATTTGTTTTCACCCGTCACAGGATTCACATAAGCCACACCCACACGTAGTACGTGATTCCCCACTTGGTTTAATGGGTAATCCACTACCATATCCAGACTACAGCCAGCAGGTAGTACATCCACAGGATTTGGAGGAGGATGTTTTCCAATCCTTGCGTAGCGATTATCGTGCAACTCTACTCGATCATTAGCACATTGAATATTGGCTGATAGCCGAACATCTCGTAACTCGCACGAGTACGGGTTAATAACACTGATATAGCTGCTAAATGTATTGCCCAAGAAGATCTCTCTATCATGGAATAAACATATGACAAATAAGAATGTTCGATTCGAAAACTGCAAGAAATAAAAATAAATTACACGTACCCAAAGCTGTCGGGTAGAATGAGCATACTAGACAGTGCAAACTCGTCCTGAGAGGCCACTGTGGTATCAGCCATGGACGTGGGTAACATGGAGCCTCCATTGATACCCTGGACAAAGAGTTTTGGCTTGTAAAGTCGCATAACTAACAAGAAAATTGGCAATAAATACGACAATAAAACGTGAAAATGACAGTAAGAAATACGAAAAGAGAGAGAAAAACATCACGGACCTTTTAAGGTCGGTTGTACGGATACAGAAGGTGTAGATGCTGCAGTGGGGGTGCCTCCATTGGAAGACAGCGGACCGTTAGTGCTTGAGGAACGCATGATTCCAACAATTTTAAATTACAAAGTTGCACGTTCTTCTTATGTTGCACGAATGTATTTTTTTCAAGCTGCAACTGAAGCAACTTCTCATAGTTGGCTCACATTTACATTAAAAGGTGGAAAATGCTGCTCCGTTCATTGTTCCGTACTGCGTCAAATGCATGTGCGTCGCCGTTAGTAGCTGCTACTAGCCTCAAGACCGGCATTACGCAAATATCTCACTTTTCGGACGCTCGGACGGTACAATTTTCATTGATTGGTCGCGGCATGTAACACCAATAAAACGCATGGTTTGTTTGAAACGTTTTTTTGATGGTATTTTACACATAGATGCACGGTACAACGATCCTGTGCGTCCGAAAAGGTGGCAAAGTGGTACGTTTTTTTTGACATGCATAATGTTTAGGTAATCATGCAACTGGATGTAATATATATGTGGCCTTTTTTCTACTCGTAGTGTTTAATTGGTGACGGTCAAGTATCACTAGGACATACTGTGGTTAAAGCCAATGCAAAGAAAGTTCGACGGATTGGAGAGCACATTGTTGCAGGTTTTGCTGGCTCCACGGCCGATGCTTTTACGCTCATGGAGCGTCTTGAAGCCAAATTGGATGAATATCCGGGTCAACTCACTCGCTCGTGTGTTGAGTTGGCTAAAGACTGGCGTACGGACAAGTATTTACGTCGTCTAGAAGCTATTCTTATTGTTTCGGACCTGAAGCAATCGTACACGTTGACGGGTAATGGAGATGTGCTGGAGCCCAATGACGGGATCATTGGCATTGGCTCGGGAGGCACCTATGCTCTTGGTATGTGTAGTTTGTTTTTTGCAGTGATGTTAGAGAAGATACTGACTGATGTGGTTGGGTGGATGGTGTATTGTAGCGGCTGCTCGTGCACTTATTGACCAAGATCTGGACGCGGAGACGATTGCTCGCAAATCGATGCAGATTGCTGCTGATATCTGCGTTTACACGAATGGGAATGTTGTGGTAGAGATGTTGGAGAAAGGGAAGGATGATGGTGAAAAAGACAAGGAGAACAAGAAGTAGGCGATGGATGTTGAGCAAGCTGCGGGGATGGCTTTAGGCTGCAGACTTAACCAATTTGCAGCAATGCTGGAATCATCAAGTTGTGCAGAAGTTACCGCTCCGCGTCAATAGTGGTGATCATGAAAAGAGTCGATGATGCAAACAGGAAGAGAAGACACATTGGAGAAAAAGAGATGGATGAAATCATAGTCAGATATAGAACGATAGAGAACGCTAACTGTTGTCGCAGCATTGCCACTCAATCAATGAAGAGGCACCGGCTTCTTGACGCGCGCTGTACTTGTCAACAGCAGCTAATGAAACGCCTTTGCTACTCGATCCCTTGTCCATTCAGATTTCGTAATAATCGTGGTGGTGGTAAGAAGACGTATATAAATGTATTGTTACACGTGTGCGCTTCTTGTTTCCTGCTGTTTAAATGTTGTTGGCGATGATCGAGTTGTACTTGTCAATGTTGCGCTTCAGGATGTCTTCTAGTGGGCCCATTACTCGCTTGAAAGTCTTACGATCCAATGTAAGACACTTGACCTTGCCCTGTGCGGTTACTGTTGCCTGACGAGGTCTAGTGGTTAGCAGTGCGATTTCACCAAAGTACGCGCCTGACGTGAGCTGGCCCATTTCCACAGGTGGGTCTGCTGGTGAGAGCTGTTTTGTACACACTGCTGCTCCTTCCTCAATAATGTAAAACAGATTCCCTTCATCACCTTGAGCAATGATGACTTCGCCATCACTAAACGTCTCAGTCTTGAGAGCATCTGCCACTGTGAGACGCTCGTACTCGCTCAGTGACTCTAGCAGTGGAACACGCTGAATAAATCCCTTGTGTGCTTCACGTTTCTTTAATGTCGTCTCCATGATGATAAACTTAAACGTCTGCCGATCCAAAGCCCACGCCTTCGAGTGTTGTACTGCCTTGACAGTCGCAGCACGGGGGGCGTTGTACATGAGCGCCAATTCACCAAATGACATCGCTTCTGTGCACTGCAAAGACCAAAGGCACAACATAAGAAGCGTAAGCATCCGATTAACACTGCAACAACTCAATCTTTACGAGCTTTACGCACTGTTTGAACAAGGCAGCCATCCTTGTAAACCTCACAAACGCCACTCTCCAGGATGTAAAAGTTATCTCCATCGTCTCCCTGCTTGATAATGATGTCACCAGGCTCAAAATTCTTTGGAAACATGGCATCAAGCACAATATCATGCTGTTTTTCATCCAAAGACTTGAACAAAATGTTCTCAACGACCATACGGCTAATACCGTCCCTTTCCTTTCTCGACTTGGGATGCACCACACGCTCAAACTGGCAAGCACTACCCAAAGAAAGAACAACGTCATTTACTTGATCTATCAAACACAAAGCAACAACATCCTGCCAACTCCCATTACGAACCTCAATGGATCGATAGTTTCCGCGGACACAGATGTGCGTCGTCCCATGCCCATAAGCTTGGGCATAGACGCACTAGGTACAATCTCACCCACTGCATCATCATCTTCATCTTCTTCTTCTTCACTATCACTCTCATCTGATTGATCTGCATGTGGAAGAAACAACCAGAAATCTCAGTAATCCTCTCTCTCTCTCTCTCTCTCTCTCTCTCTCTCTCTCTCTCTCTCTCTCTCTCTCTCTCTCTCTCCCCCCCCCCTCTCTCTCTCTTAGTTCTTTTTCAACCGTCACATACCGTCTGAATAGAGTGAAACTGCTGGATTATCCTCCTGACCGCTTGATTTCTGACGGACTAAGACCTCTTCTGGATAATTACTCTGTAAATACTGAACAATGTGTAGAATGGGGTTCTCAGGCTTGGCCAGTAAGAGAGATTCGACCAGATTAATAAACAACGTATTAATGCCCTTTTTGTGCAGATACTCCTGAAGTTCCTGCTGTACGTCCTCAGCGTCCGTCATATTGTAAACTTATTATTTATCTTGTTCGTAAAAAATGAGTGAGAAATTCAATCACTTGATCCGGAACTTTTACGGTCGAAATTAAACTGAGACTGACGTCACTCAATGATTAACCAAGTGATTTCAAAATGGAAAAAAAACTGCTCTACAATAATAAAAATAACACTGAACCTAAATGTAGTTGGAAGATTGAGTTGTCGTAGAGACACTTTTACCCTGAATTAGAACACACGATTAGGTAGTGGGTGGTTATTTTCGTTTCTGGCTCTAAAATACTGAACTGCTCAGCAATGACCAACTGCGTTTTCTGTCTCACGACGCTTGGCTATGATATCAATTGATGTCTTTGAAAACAAACCAATCACAAATTTAAATCAACGTTTCAAAAGTTGGATGCAAATTTAGAAAATTTAGATATTTGATAGCGTCAAATATAAGTGCGTTGTAACCGGCGATCAGTTCTTCTTTCTATAAACAATTTGTGCAATTTCTAACATCATTTTTTATGCATTGAGCTATAATTTTATAGTAAAAACACCTCTGTGCTTTCTAGATTAACATACTCTATATTATTTCAAGGTACATGCAGCAATCTCTATCTCGCGTCAATGGTATTCACACAGAACAAACACTGTCGTCACGCAAGATGAAGCCAGAAATGCGCTTCGATTTCTGTGACACGCTGAATGAAACCCGTTCTTGCTGGAAGCAGAACGGTCTGTGAGCGCAAATGAATCACAACACCAACTACTCTGATCTCACTTTTTTCTAGTCGACAATGAGCTCATCCAGGTGGATTTGATACCACGAGTGGTGCTTTGAAAGCATGCAACAGTCTTTGTATTCAACTAATTGTCGTATCACTGTTTGAAAATAGTGTACAAAATGTCGACGCGCACATCAAACGTTTCGATGGCGTGTTTGATGTAGCCATGATATGGTGGTGTTACTGTCGGTGAAAATGGAAGCATCAAGCAGTTAGACGTCACGTCATAAAGCACAACGTTTCGGTGTTCAGAGGCGGCGCCGGTCACCCGATCTTATACGAGAACCTACGTCGGGTTTTTTTAGACGTTACTAGCACTACTGCATGTCGAAATTGGCCTATGCAACTGGAGTCTTTGATTACAAGCGTCTCGTTCTTCTCATGCTTCTCGAGCTTTCCGAGCTTGCTTTTGCCCTGTGTAATCTTGTAGCGCAATCGTTTTGACAACAAGACGCTGCCATATGATTAGATTGTAACATCAGATCAAGGAACAACGACGCAGAAGGACATTGAGACGACTGATTTCTTTACGGACATGCGAATACGCGGGATCGAGATTGCCACGCCTCGACCAAAATGGGCTTGTTCATCTGGACATTTTGAGTAATTTATAGCAAGGACTTAAATGTTAAAACACCAACTGATTTTGTAAAAACAAATTGTGTCAAAACTTATGCTCATTTTCCGGCTACCAACCAAAATGGCACCGACAGCAGGTTTGTTGTCTCTGCTTTCTCGCTCTCTCTCTCTCTCTCTCTCTCTTGTACTACCTTTTTGACCTTTTTATTATGGTATCTCCATATTCTCTCCCTTTCTCTAGGAACTCGTCTTCGTTTTAAGACGGTACGAGGCAAGAAAGTATCACAAACGACAAAGAAAGTCCCATCACTAAAGAATCGCATTCGAGGGCTTGAACGCTTTCTCAGTCGTGGAGTAAGTGTGTGGACCACAAAATATGTTGCAATCAAAGAAGAACATTTTTTTTGTCATAGCACATGTTGTTTTAATTAACGGTGTATACTATACGACTATTTAGGGACTATCTGACGCTGCAAGAAGAGCCAAGAAGGCGGAGCTAAAGCAGCTCCAAGACGAGGTATCGTGTTTTTATCATGTAGTAAACATCAAAAGTTAGAGAATTGAGGTACATTATCTTATATGTTTGATCACTATTTAGCATGAGAAAAAGGATCAAGTTGCAATGGAAAAGAAAAATGCTGAAAAGTACAAACGAGTGAGTCACTGACAGTGATTTTTTGCTGATACTTAGCACACGAAATACGTGCTTTATCATTGTTTACGGACTTGTGTGTGTGTTTTTCTTATTATTTTGAAGCCCCGATTTTTTGAGCGAGTGAAAGTGATGCGGAAGTTGCGTCAGGCGAAGAATTGCATTGAGCAGGTGAGGAGGTTTTTTCATTTGTTTGCTATGCAGCGCACAAGCTTATTGGAAATTGTTGCCTTTTTGCTACGATTGTATCAGGCAAAGGATGAAGCTGAACGTGCAAAGCATGAAAAGAAATTCAAGAAGTACCGAGAAAAGATGATGTACATCTACTACTACCCAAAAAGTGAGCCATATATTCCGTTGTTTCTTTCAGCGTCTCATTCTAAGGAGAACCAAAAGCGCCAGAAAAAGCTCCGAAAGGAGGCCATTTCTCGTTTTGAGAAGGAGCAACCTATCGATGCGTTCCACCAGTTTTGCTTTAACGATGGCAAGTCCAAGGAATCGACCACAGCAGAGAAGACTAGGTCAGCTGCTGAGCTTTTGCTCAAGAACCCCACCAAGGAAATGGTGAAGAAGCAAAAGAAAGCCCACAGCAAGCGGAGTAAGTCTGGGGAAAAGGGTAAGCACACGCCAGTCCTTGTAGATCAGGAAGATGACGACGAAATGCCGGATGCAGCTAAGGAGAATTGCGTGGAGGAAGAGGAGCATGAAGAGCATGAGATGGAGAAAGAAGAGGACGATTTTTTTTTGTAACTTGTGGTATAAACCTAAGCATTTGTCGGATGCGCTGGAAGTCAGGCGAGATGTTTTCGGTATTTTCAACATCATGCGATGCGTGGGACTTTATTACTTTAGTCGTCTATGCTGACTGCTCCATGTGGAAAGAGGAGCAAACGATAATTGGTCACGAGGACAATGTTGTAGAACGAGGAGGCGATCTCAAAGTATAGCTAGATCAGGATAGATGGACCCGACTCAATTCCTACGGTTTGCTGGTGAGTGTCCGTCATCAGTTCAGCTTCGGCTTGAGACGCAGCAGCAAGTGCATTCATGTTTGTAAAACTGAAAGACCTGAAAGCATCAGAGAGTTTGGAAACCCCGACGCTACCGTACATCCCACTAGGGAATCGATAATGATCGTTGTTGTCTTCCATCTGCAAGCCGTCGCTTATGTGTTCCTCATTTACAGTTCCCATTGCATCTAGCACGCCTAACGCTCCTGCGGCTCCCCACGACATGTCAACATCCGCTGTAGCAACAGAAACATTGCTTGCGTTGTTGTTTCTTCTATGAGTGTCCTCATCTTCTTTTGGGATGAGTGAACGTAGCAGCTGATCGTCACTCTCTGGTCCAAAGTCGATATTGTTCAGAGTGTTGCATGCAGAACGAGAAGACATATCGAACTCGTCGTCATCGATGAATATGTCAGTGAGATTGCGGTTGTTGAAATAGCTGGTGTCAGTCGGTCCTTCCAGTGTCGGCACAAACGGAGGCACGGATTCCAAAATCGTATCCCAGTTGATACCATCAAAAAACTGGTGCTGTTTGATCCCCTCCCAACTCATTCGCGTTTCTGGGTTGGGGTCGAGCAACTTATCTATCAAATCCACTGCCTCCGGAGACAAACACTTTTCTCCATCGGGCCACAGGATTTGCCGCTCTAAAATATTTTCGAAAATTGCATCCACGGTGTCGTCATTAAATGGAGGAAAGCCTACCATCATTTCGTAGAGAATGATTCCTAGTGCCCAGTAGTCCACGGGCGGTCCATGAGGAACACCAAGAATGATTTCGGGTGCTAAGTAGTCTGGAGTACCACACCGTCCATACGTGTGATACACAGACTTCTTTTTCGAGTTTCTCTTGGATCCCGAAATGCGACGCGGACATTTGGACTCTGAAACAGATGACGCATCCTCAAATGAAGCACCATCCGGTATACCACCGTCTTGTGCTATAGCCTCATCGTCAGGTTCCGAGTCAGTGTCACTTAGAGCTACAGCTTCCTCTGACAAGCCAAAATCAGTCAGCTAGAGACGCAAATTACAATAAAAAGATTAGAAACGTGTATGTACGAGAATGAACGAGAGCTGTAAACAGCTAAAACAAACCTTGATGTGGCCGGTAGACGAAAGTAAAATATTGTCGGGCTTCATATCTCTGTACAAAACTCAGATAAGTGATAAACGCATCAAGCGACTGAGAGTGGCTACTTGTATGTACCTATGAACACAGCCCTTGGTGTGCAAGTGATTAAGTGCGATCGCAATCTCCGCAATATAGACGCATGCCACCTAAAAATGAGGCATCACTCATCCTCAGTCCTTCTAAACAAAGTGTCTAGCTTTTTATCAAATGCAGAACGCCAGCTTACCTGTTCTTCTAGTTGCACAATGCACTCAAGTAACGACATAAAATCACCACCAGGAAGATACTCCATCACCAAAAAAAGATTGCGCCTAGTCAAAACCAAAAAACGACCCGCGACGTAAGTTGCTACTCGTCTCAAATCGTGAGCGTATTAGTATTAGTATTCACGAGATGCTTACTTGGTTTGAAACGTCCAAAACAACTTCACAACAAACGGGCTCACCACACTCGCCAAAATATTCCTCTCTGTCTCAATTTGCTGGATCTGTCGTGGCATACAACAAAGATAAACACTTAGTAGGCAATTGTGAGCTCATAGCGTAGCAGTGAACACGCAGTACCTGATTTTTGCGCAGCAAATGCTCTTTTGCGAGCACCTTTATCGCATATTGATCACCAGTTGTTTTCTTTCGGGCAAGATACACCTTGCCAAACGCACCCTTTGAAATTGGCTTGACAATTTGAAAATCACGAATAGAGACACGATATGACGCCGGCTTCAAACTTGACCGTCGTCGTTGAGGTCGAAAAAATTCACTCATGTCCATATCCTCGAGCGACTTGGTGCGCTTTAACGGAGCCCGTTCCGTTTCAGCAGGAGCCTGCTGAAACATTACCTTATGAGACGCTCGCATTTTGCTCATCTTGGCATGGATCAAGTTGCGCAGCTTAGTGCAGCACTTGACCCTTTCGACGTCAAAATCTTCCACCTCCTCTTCTTGTTGTCGTATCCTATCAATAATCTTCACAAGTCGGGCACACAGCGCAAACGCATCCACACTCGTGACATCACAAGTAGAAGCTTGAATAGCTATCACCCTCAATGCATGATACGTATGCATTTCTTCAAGATCGAACGTTGCTTCGGTCTCAAGTGATGCATTAATCGACGTCGTCAGTTTCACCAACGAGTCATTAATGACATCTGCTTCCAGTTCCACTCTCTTGGACAAGACACAGTAATTGACATGTTCATCCAATCTATCAGCATCCACTTTTGTCTCACAAAGTTTACAAACCACCACGGGCTTCATAGTTCGTCGAAACGTCACGGTCATGGGTCGTCTACTAAACTGCAGATTATCGAGCACCTCTTCAGGTGACATTTCACTCCCAATTTGACCATTCACCGCTTCCACCGACAACCCTTTCTCGAGCGTTGATCGTGGAGGTATGTGCACAATCACATTTGCCCAGTTTTCCATGCAGACACTCTTAATCACGACTTTATTCTTCATTGAATCAATCACAAATTCCAGACCAAGAAACCCGTCTCCAAAGATCACGTCAAAGGTTTCTGGTCGATGAACACTCTCAAAAAAGTCCTCATTAACTTCCAGCATTGTCGCTGTCTCTTTAGTACCACCATCTTGTTGATTCTCATGATTCTCTTCATTGGACGCGAATCGACGCCATTTGACCTGATTCTTCTCCCATCGGATCAGTACATCCTCCAAAGTATCTGGTGCAGCGTCTAAGAGGCCAATACGAGACATAGAGTCCCCTCTAGCACTGAAAGGTGCCACATTGAGCGTATATTGGCGATGGAGACGCTGTGGTTTGATCTCAAGTCCTAATTCTTCGTGAAGACGCTCGATTTCACTGCTGCTGGTGCTTGTAGCACTAGTTCGACGACCGTTTTTGTCAGTAGGAAGCTCTAGCTCTGCGACACGAGCCAGAGCGAGCTGGTGCAGCCGCTCGGCCATGAGGAATCGAAGAATGAGATGACGAGTAGTCGGTTTCGTAGACTGAGCTGAGCTGAACTATAAAGTGTTTTTTTCTGCGCCTGTTCTTAATCGTGACGTTTACGACGTCGGAGGATATAGTCTGTCCTTTGGTAGTATTTCTATGCGCGCCTTTCCAATTTGTAGTGCTTCCACTTGTTTGGGTAGGAAAATCTTACGTTAAGTGTCTTGGAGCCTTAAAGAGGGTTAACAACTAGTAGGTAGGTAGGTAGGTAGGTAGGTAGGTAGGTAGGTAGGTAGGTAGGGGTGTAGGTATACGATCTCTATGAACTACGCGCTCGATTCTAGATTTATTCGAAATGGGAAAGCTTCTCAAGACGTCGTTCGTAACGTCGTGTCCTTTGACTGAATCATTGGGCATGACGATCGCTGGAAAATTGTAGCATACACGTTTGTGTAATGTGCATGCAACCCTGACTAGCTGTAGCTCATTATCGTGGTAGTTTTCACGAGTCACTTACCGGCTCACATGCTGGCATCTTGTAAAGTCTTGTATGTGGAAATGTTCAGCCTTATGGTTGGGAGGAAGAGGTACGAGAAAGAGCTGCAGTATTCCTTAGGAAAGGTGGTGGTGTCTGGAAGACGTCCTCAGTTGTAACGAAATAGCCGTCAACACAACTAATCTTTCCACTGAAAAGGACAGGCGCGTCATAGGTTTCATTGACGAGTCAGCATGAAACGTATTCGTATCGAACACTGTTCTTTGCGTGCTCCTGACGAACTGGAAAAGTATACACGTCGAAACCGATCCCATGGCGCCAGAAAAACCCGTAGCATACGTGGGACGGCGGGAGAATCTGAGCATGTTAGCAGCAGGAAACTTTCTGCTAGTGGACAGCGTACTACTACGAGCACAAAATACCAAACCACTTATCTTTGTATCGTCGCCGGTATTTACTCGTCCGTACAAACTCCCCATGCGTCCTAAGCTCTACGGCATGTGAACATCATCGCCGATTCGTAGCTGCCCCCTTTGATGCAATTTCTTGTGATACGTCAACCTCGCAAGAAACAAGCTGATTCATAAGCTTTTGAGCTTGCCCGTAAAAGGTCGGTGCAGGCTTTCTGTGAGCGAACAAAGTTTCGATACAAGTCAAGCTATCATGGTACGCATCAGTTTTTTCTCTCGTGCTCATCGAAAACCGCTCGAGCCAAGGATGAGGTTGTGCTTCGAGCAAAAGAATCATGTTTTATTAACGAGTCTCCGTCAGAAGTACACGCATTGCTTCGTTGAGCTCTTTAACAAATGAAAGCCTCTGTCAGTACAACCGCAATACTATACGTTAGTTTTATTCGGTGTCATGCTGATGCTGGATCTCTAACTAACGGCGCTAGTCCTTCCATTCACTTTACAGGATCACGTGATATCCAAACAAGTTCCGTTGGAATTTAGATGTGGCATTGTCAATGAAACGAAAGAGAGCAACACAGTTTCAACGACACTTCTTTCTTTCACTTGACGGATTGCACACCGAGATCTAGATGAGCCCTGAGCTTTGTCAGCGCCACCACGCAGCCTTGTCGACGTCAACTTCCTCCACTTGCTTGTATAACTGTGCAGGGCACTGAGTGTGTCACGGCCGTCCCGTCCTCCAAAAGCACTCAGTTGGCCGACCTGAGAGCGAAAGTCTCTTGAGTTGTAAATTCATAATCAAAAGAGGTATTCACGAAAGATGTTAGGCAGAAGCCTACAATGAGGAAAGTGCTTGACATTTTTCGGACGCGTTAAATATCGTCAAGAGGAAGCATTTGTACACAGCTTTGCTTACAACTCAATTCCTGCCAGGCATCTCTTTTCTTTTACGTAATGACTCCTCCCCAGAGCAACATCCATATATTTATGATTTATGACGTAAATATAAGTTAGCAAGTGACCGGAGGCCTTTGCATGACAAAGGCTTCAAACAAGAGCAATCCTTATGCGAAGAATAAACATACTTCATATATCAGGGCATTTCATCGAAGTGCTAAGTCGACTGTAGGTGTTAGTTACACACAAACGCAAGAGCAAACACAAAAAACGTAGATGTTTTTTAAATCAATCAAACATACAGTAGTGCATAGCCTAATGTTGACTACGTCCTATTTGAATCATCCCATCGTTTTCTATGGAAGTAGTCACATCAGTCTTGTGGATGGCTTTGACAAGACCGGGTTTTTCCAAGTTAGTCTTCTCTCGGGGGCAGGTCCAAGTTGCTTTCCGTTTCCGGCAGAGGGTCATTCAAGTCGAAAGAATGCTGCCGTTTCAACGTCGGGAGCTCCAAATCGATTTTCTGCCGTTTCTGCAATGGGGGCTCACTTACGTCATTATCATGTCGTTTCAGCACTTTTGGCGATCCTTCATTCAGAGCTTTTTGCAGTGTTTCAGCAACGGCTTTCATCCTCTCGATCTTTGCTCCCTAAGCTAGAACCCTGACCAGATCGCCCTCGCCCTCGTAAACGCCTCTCAGGGTCGAAATCATCGCCTTAGTTGCTTCCAGATCATCCAAGAATCTCGACCTGACGAAAGTGACCCATGTAAAGAAAAGCGGACTAGCGAAAAGGTTGTCACTTCTGGTGGAGTTCCAAAAGCTTGAAAACGCTTGCCGCATCTCTCCTCTCTTCTACCCACACGTCAATCTGGCTTTTTAGGCGTTGTTCAGCTAACAATTTCGTGCTGTCGACCTTTGTTGCTGCAACTAACACCTTTGCCAGATCATCGCCTTTGCAATAATCTTCCAAGAAGATGAACATCTTCATCTCGGCCTCTTCTAGGGATTTTTCGTATTTTAGTTTGACGAAATTGACCCAAACGAAAAATAGCGGTCTTTGAAATGGGTCGCCCTCTCCCTGGTGGATCTGCAAAAGCTCGAAAACCTCCTTCTCAGATGATTCGTTGCGAACCCACTCTCTCACCTGACATTTAAGCACTCTTGTAGCTAGTTGTGCCTCTTTAGAAACCTTTGTTCCCGCAACGAGAGCCCTGGTCAGATCTACTGGCTTGTACTGGCCTGCCAAGAAACTGAGCATTTCGTATTCGTACATTTTCTTAAATCTGGACTTAAGAAAATCAACCCACCTGGGAAATAGCGGGCTTTCGAAAAGTTTGTCTCCGGTCTGTTGGAGCTTCAAAAGCTTATAAAAACTTCCCGGATTTTCCGATCTTTTCTTTTCCCCACAAACTCAGCTGGTGGCCTAGCAGTCGTTCTGCTACGATTTTGGCACTCCCTGTCTTCGTTCCCGCCACTAGAGCACTGCACAAAGCATCATCGTTATTTTCAAAATGTTTAGCCAAGATAGACAGCAACACTTGGTCTGCCATCTTCTTCGGATTGGGGTACCTTAACTGTACGAATGCGACCCATTTTTGAAAGAGTAGGCTCTTAATAGGATTGACATCTGTCTGGTGAAGCTGCAATAGCTCAAAAACCGTTGCCGGATCTTTCTTCAATTCTACCCACTTCTCGATCTGGAGATCTATCATTTTCGAGCGACGCGTTTCAAATATTCGATCTTTCTTCCCGCAACTAGAACACTAGCGAGATCATCGCCCTGAAAATGAGATGCCAACATCACGAACATCACCTTCGCTACAATTTTCGGGTCATCCTCGTATTGTGACTTGACAAAATTTTCCCAGTCAAGAACGTCTCTGCCCCCTGCAAATATGTTGCGACTCTCCATGGCGCGGGTTAGATCGGAAAACTCTTCATTCATAACTTTGATCCGAGGAGCTAACTTAGCGGCCTCGGCCTTCTGCTCCTCCTCGGATAGACCCTTGAACCTGGATAGGTGCCATTCCCCCAAGACGGAATCGAATTCCTCCGGCAACGCGATCATCTTTTCCTCGGTATTTTCGGTAACGCTACTTATGTCCGCGTTGGAGACCGCAAGTGAAGTGTGAACCGTATTCCATGGACTGGAATCGTTTCTGCTGGACATGATATGCTGAGACATCGCGGAGGTCACGCTCACAGCTGACCATGCGACGAGCGCAACAAAAGTCAGGGTTGCGGCGCAGGACGTAGCAGTGCGGGGTCTGGCAGGCAAGATGCGAAGTGGAGAGGCTGTATGACCTCGGGAACCTTGAATTGGTTGGACGATACAAACAATTCTCGTTTGTCTCTTCTTCACTGTGTATTGACTTTCCAGCTATACTGAGCAGATCGCAACGGTGGATAAAAAAATAGCAGAACAATGCGTTGATGCCGACAACATGTTTCTCTAGAAAATGAGGTGCCCGAGAGAAGACATCAAGAGTTTGACTGGTGTCGGATGATGCTTTTAGAACTACCAAGCTATTGTGAGCAAGCTCGAGATAATCCGCTGACATTCCGAGAGTTTGAGCTGATGATAGCCAGATCGCCAGGACGTTAGCAATTCTACGCTTCTATGTGATTTGGACAGGCGCAAAAGGAATAGTCACAGCGATGGCGACAGTGTAAGAAATTGAATGCTAGGTTACAATAAAGAATGGTGCTAGTATAACTACGTGTAGCGTAGAAGAGAGCAAGATATTTCCCGGCTTTGCTGCCCTTTGCGTTTACACTTGAGCGTATTCAAAGCTCGAGTTGGTCGTCTTCACCAAGTGACAGCGTCTGGCCTCATTTATGGACCTCCAAATCACAAGACCTATGGAAGAAGGAAAAGCTCTATCTTGGAGCCGGTGCCTAAACGCCTACATCTTTGTGCCAAGTGCGTCGTCTACATACTTTTACACGCTTTGAAGCGCCGCGTTATACGTCGCCTTTGTAGCTACCACAGCGTATACCCGAAGCGAGACACGCTGCGACAAGTACGAGGGGACGGCAACTGCTTTTTTTCCAAGGCTTCGTCTCTCGTCTGTGCAAGCGCTTTGCTGTGTCGTCTCGGGAGGTACTTAGGACAACATCGGTAAAGGTGGATCTGCTTTAAGAACGACATTTGTGTACTAATACTGTAAGAAATGGTATGGCATACAAGGTAAAGTATGACTGACATGGTCCATGTTGGCCATAAACTCTACCTATAGCAGTAGCACGCAGTGACAACCTTGACTATCGACTTTCTACCTTCAGCTTCCTACCACCTGCTACGTTTCAACGTCAGTACGAGGCCCCATGAGCATGCGAAGCGGTCTTTCGGGCACTACCTCTTAATTTACACAGCAGTTCGTGATGCGTTTGCTTTCCCCCACTAACGCTGTTGTAGAGTATAAAATGATGATACAAGGGGTTGTTCCTGGCCTCGAGAGACCAAAACGCATGTTCCAGTTTATGGTGAGGCAAAGGAGCTAAGTAAGTTGAGTGGGTCTCCATGGAAAGAGGTCGACTTTATCTTTTAAGAGCTTGAAGAACAGATTTGTTACCGCAGCTATGGAGAGATATGCCAGAGAAAGATGGGCGCAGTGCTGTAGACTCGACGGCTGTTGAGAAGTCCTGGTGGTGGACATTTTGTTCGCTTGCCATGATGCAAGCTGTAGAGAGGAAGTCGGCGGCACTGTGATAAAAGGATTCTGACATTGTTATTAGTGTTATCTTTTTCGTGCTAGCATGATGGACTAGTTGTTCTTGTTCTCCATCACTCTTGTCCAATCAATCACCCATCCACGCACCTGTCCAATCAATCGCTCAACTGATCCTCGAACGCCTTCCTAAGTCGTCAGCCGTTTCCTCAACTGTAACTTCAACCGTGCCTTTTTCTAACACTCCTCCTCGGCTACGACTTACCGTCCTAACCTAGGCTGATCATCTCACACAGCGCCGCGAGCTTGACTGCATCTAGCGCCTTCGTCAAAAGATCCGCTAGTTGTTGCTCCGAGCGGACGTACTGCGACACGATGATCCCGCGTCGAGCGAAGTCGCACACGAACTTCGTGCGAACATCGATGTGCTTGGCCTTTAGAGATGACGCCTCGCCTGCCAGCTGCTTCAGTGCCGCCTGATTGTCGACGTGGAGTACCATCGGTAGCGCCGGCGGCTTACCGATCTCGGTTAGCATCTCCCTGATACCAAGAAGCTCGCGCGCCTGCTCCGATGCAGCGACGAACTCCGCTTCCATCGTCGAGAGCGAGACGCCGCCTTGCTTCTTCGACGTCCAGCTGACCGGCATGCCGTTCAGGCGGATGATGCCGCCAGTCAAGGACTTTCTGTCACTCTTTTCCGCCGCAAAATCGGCGTCCGAGTACGCCTCGAGCTGGATCTTGCCGTCGAGGTGCTTCGCTGGTTCCATCCGAAGCTTGTAGTCCCGCGTCCCCTTCAGGTACCGCGCGATGCGTTTGGCAAGCTTCATATCGTGGAGTCGCGGCTGATGAGTCTGACGCGTCGCCTTGTGCACGGCGAACGCAATGTCCGGCCGTGTGCAACGCGCGATCCACAGAAGACTGCCGACGAGGGACTGGAACGTCTTGATTGTTGGCGCCTTCTGCACCTTAGTCTCGGTGAGCAGCGCGCTGTCATCTGGTAGCACGTCGTAGCAGTCAGCCCCAATTGGTGCTTTCGTCGGGTTTGCATCCTTGAGCCCATGCTCACGCAGGAGCTCGCCGATCGCCTCGGCCTGGTCAAGCACGTAGCCGCCACTGTTATCAATCGTGACACGCATGCCGAGGAACTTGCTAACGGTGCCGAGGTCCTTGATCGACAAGCTGCCGAGCTTGACGAAGAATCGGTCGACGGCTGCAGCGTCCGTGCCGGTAGCAAGTAGATCGTCGACGTAGACGCCCACGATGACCAACTGTCCACCCTCGACTTGGTAGTATAGACACATGTCGGAAATACATTGCCGGAAGCCGGCTTCGAGCAGTCGAGCGTGCAGGAGCTGGCTCCAGAGTCGTCCAGCCTGCTTGAGGCCGTACAGGCTCTTTCGTAGCTGCAGCACTACTTCCTTCTTTGTCGCTGCGCCTACCATCTTGAGCGCGTCTTGATCGATTGTCATTGCCTGCGGCACCTGGAGTAGTATTTCCAAGTGAGCTTCCTTGTCAGCCTTGACATACGCGTTGGGGATGTCGCCATGCTTTGCTGGGACACCCCATATCGCCGCAAGCGCCAAGATCACCTTCACGGTCGACATGTCCATGACAGCCGCAAATGTAAGCTGGTAGTCGACCCCAAAAACTTGCTCGTTGCCGCAGGCGACCAGTCGAGCCTTCAAGCGCTCTATCTCACCGTGCGCGTCGGTCTTGGTCTTGAAAACCCACTTCGTGTGCAGAGTGTTGCTGCCTGGAGGTCGCTTGATCAAGCGCCACACGCCAAGGTCTTCTAGGGCTTGGAGCTCTTCGCGCATGGCCTTTTCCCAGCCTTCACGCTTAGTGCTGCGTAGCGCTTCACCGTAGTTCTTGGGATCGCACTCATACACATGAGCCACCACGCTGTCGTCGCCAGCTGGCTCCTCCTGATGGGCGGCCGCATGTAGCGCCGCGCGTCCGGTGAGCCGCGCGTGTCCACGACTTCGATTTCTTCTTGCCGCTGCGTATCGTCGGCGATGCGGCATCGTCAGCAGCCGGCAACTCTTTGCTTGTTGTTGCTGTTGCCGCTGGCTCCACGGCTTGATCTTTATACTCGAGCGCGCGCTGCAGCTGACCATTCTGCTCTGCGCTGAGCGTCTCGACGTTGCGCACATGCTGCGTGATCGTGACCTTGTTCTCCTTTTGGAGGAAGACGCGAAAGCCCTTAGTCTCGTCGCTCCGCCCAATGATCACGCCGACTTGTGCGCGCTGCGCGAGTGAGTTCTTGCCTGGGTCACGGTAGACCGAGCAGATAGAGCCAAAGGCGACGATGTCGCGCAGATCCGGCACTTGCTTCGTCAGTACCTCGATCGGCGACGCGCGCTTCGCATTCGCGCTCGTTGGGCTGCGGTTGAGGATGTACGCCGCGTACTCAACCGCATCGCCCCAAAACGTCAATGGCAGTCGGCTGGCAAAGATCATGCTGCGCGCCATGTTCAGGATCTTCCTGTGCATGCGCTCGGCCTTGCCGTTTAACGCCTGATTCCTCGCCTCGCTGATCTGCCGCGCGACGCCCGTTCGCTTGCAGAAGAGGTCTACATTCGCGAATTCGCCGCCGCCATCAGTGCGTAGCACGTGGATCCGGCAGTCGAACTGGCGCTCAAAGAACGCGAGGAAGTGCTCAAACTTCTTGGCCGCCTTGTCCTTTGTAGGCGCCAGGAAGACGCGACAGTAGTTCGACTTATGATCGACAAAGTTGACAAGGTAACGATTGTGCAATCGATCCTTCGGGGTCATCGGACCCTTGAGGTCTGAGCAGATCACCCCGCCAACTCTGTCGATCGGCGAGTTTGATCCAGTGTCCTTCTTCGACTGCACGTTCCTTGTTTGCTTGCCCTGTGCGCAAGAGATGCACGTCGGGCGCTTGCGATCCGTTAGCACGATGCCGGACGCGGGGTCTCTCGCCATGCGCTCGACGGTGTCGTACGCGAGATGCCCAAGCCTTTGGTGGAAGTGCAGCAGCGAGCCGCTTTGCGTGTCCGACTCGGGTTCTTCCGGAGCTGCCTGGCTCGTCAGGATCGCCATGAGCGCGTCTCTAGGCGCTCGTCGCTCGCGAGCCGCTGCAACTGTCTGGACGTAGAGCACATTGTGGTCCATCGCCACATCGAACGCGACTTGGCCATTGCTGCGTCGTGCCAACACGCGCGACTCGCCGTCGTAGACGAGCCCAAAACCCTTGATCTCGAGCTTACCGTAGGACATGATGTTGCGCGATAACTCGGGCGCCAGATACACGTCCGTCAGCGTCACATCTTGCTGCTGTCCTCTCGCGAGCACAGTCAGCACGACGCTTCCGACTTGCGTTAACTTGATGGTCTCCCCATCTGCCAAGTGGCACTCTTGATCGCAGTCCCTCGCGTCGCGCAGCAGGGTTGCGTCGTTCACAAGGTGGCGGCTGGAACCGCTATCGAGTATCCAGTCGTCATCTTCGTCATCGCTGTCGTCACCAATCGCCATCGCCAGGCTTTGACCGGTGGCGCGCGAGCCGTTGCGACCTCTTCCTTCACCAACAGCTAGCGTGATGCTGCCGCCGTCTTTTGGGCCTCTGCCCCTCTTCTTGTCGTCATTCTTCTTGCTGCGACAGTCCTTCTTTAGATGGCCGACCTTCCCACACCCGTGGCAAGTGCGTGTCTCCTTGCGCGACACGGACTCGTCCACGTGCGCGACGACCTCCTTCCCGAAGGATCTTCCTGATCTAGCTTCCATCTCGATTGCTTGCGCGAAGTGCGCGAGCTCTTCCGCGTGCACGAGGTAGTCGGTGCGGTGCGTCTGGTACTTCGCCATGAGTATTGTAGACAGCTCAGAAGAGGCGTAGCGCACGATGTTGTCCAGAACCTGCTGCTCAGCGCCGCCCGCAGCGTCGCTGACAGCGACCAGATACAAGTAGTGTTCTGGCCAGGATCTCTTGCTTTCTTTCTTCGCCGTGAAGAGTTTCATCGCTTGAGCGGCGGTTATCGTCGTCTTGAACGTGTCCAGCATGCGCTGCATCACGTACTGCAATGTAGGCAGCACGGCCCACCACGTGTCGACCTGCTTGCTGAAATACCGCTCGGCAGTGCCAGTGAGGTACTGCCCGAGCACGTCAGTCTTCACATTCTCGCTCCACAGGAAACCGCAAGACTCCTGTGCCATGTCGACCTGGCGCCAAAACGTCTTGCCCCAGTCGAAGAAGCCGGACCCGAGTCCAACGTACACCTCAGTGCCATCGAACTTGCGGATCGCCAGCTTGCGCTGCCTGGCATCCGGAGTGCGATACTGCATCGGCATCACTTGTTGCTGCTGCTGTACTGGCTGCCCTGGAGCTGCCGGCATCGTCTGAGGCACTGGTGCCGGCTGGTATGGTGGCAATGGGGCAGGCGGCTGAGGCAACGGATCAGCACGCTGCTGCAGCTGCTCTCTCGCTCGCATCCGTAGGTCTTCGAGCCGCGCTGGTGCACGCCGCAATTGCTGCTGAGACTGCCGATCGTGCAAGTCCTCAAGCTCCATTGCGCCGCCGTGGAGTCGCCCTGCGAAGTCCGCCCCGAGCTCTGATCGGAACAGCTCGCTCTCGTGAGCGCCACGCATGCGCTCGTCTTCGTCCATGCGTGCTTGGGATGCTTCTATCTTCTGCATTCGCAAGTCCATGCCCGTGAGCATCTTGAGGACCCTCTCCAGTGCGTCAGGCTCCGGGCTCCTTGCGTGAGCGGTAGGAGAGACGACCGTAGCAGGCGCGGCCGCGGCCCTTTCGTGACCGGTTGCCGGCGGCGCCTGTGCCGCGTTGGTGTCGTCGTTTGCTTCCCGTCTTGGGCTCATAACCTGTTCGCTTGCCATGATGCAAGCTGTAGAGAGGAAGTCGGCGGCACTGTGATAAAAGGATTCTGACATTGTTATTAGTGTTATCTTTTTCGTGCTAGCATGATGGACTAGTTGTTCTTGTTCTCCATCACTCTTGTCCAATCAATCACCCATCCACGCACCTGTCCAATCAATCGCTCAACTGATCCTCGAACGCCTTCCTAAGTCGTCAGCCGTTTCCTCAACTGTAACTTCAACCGTGCCTTTTTCTAACACATTTTACTCTGTAGAACATTGTTTGCCAGCTAGTAGAACCGACTCTAGAGCACTTCAGACACGGGCTACAAGATCATGCTATGAAGGATATTTACGTGCTGATATTCGTCTTTATGCTCGAGGACATCCGCACACTGGACCACACGGGGCGCTATAGCAGAAAGATATTCTGTAGTTTTGACTTCAGATCGGCTAGTGCCAAACAGAGACTACTATGCCGAGCTGATCTTATGGAGACACAGCAGCTACCAAAGGAAGGTTTCATTGACTCAGACTAGTGTCCAAGCTCGGATCGCTTTAACACGAAGAGCCTGGCTGTGAATTTCATTTACGGGGGATTTACGAGTCAAGATCGTATTCTTGTACGCCTCTCAAGCTCATTTGCTGGTGTACGCGCTGGAATAAAGTCGCAGATGGCAAAACCACACCACGCTCCAGCGGTTGATCGGATGCCCAGTTGCTCGTGGTGGTGGAGACGTCAAATTTACGCGTACACTGTGTCAACTCTTCACATCGCCGCTCCGTGTCTGTCGTTGATATCGTGACCAGACTACCGAATTTGGCAATCGGCATTTATCACACGAGAGAGTTTGCATCGTCAAGCTCTCATTCACGGCATCTCAGCGCAGCAAATCTACGATTTTTTTATGAAGCACGCGAACCCAAAGATGCTATTGTGGGAGCGCCTGCTGAATTGCGTGCAGTTCATGGGGGAATCCGTTTTGACGGATACAACACCACATAAGACTACGAGTGTATGTGGCTACGCTGGAGGTCAGGTGATTGAATCCTATTCACTTCAGAAGATGTCAGTTGCGAGTGCAGATGGTGGCACACAGCCCGCCGAGTCGATGAGCACGCCACGGCTACGCGGCATATATATTTTATGTGACTAGCTGAACTTGTACAAGGGTGTAGTGGAGCTGCAACAATTCAGATCTACGTACGTTGCCGCTGCCTCTGGTAATGTCTCATACAATGCCATGGTCACACCCGTTCAACAAACATCGCTGCTGATTGTAACATGTTCACCAAGGTGTGCATGTATCATCCACAGTAAGCACTTGTAATTGTATGTGCAGCAAATGTCTATCTTAGCGCCTAGTCTTCTGTATTTTCGCTTCAAGAACGACAATGCTCATACCGAATGCTAACTAGACTGACAAACGTATTCTTAATTTAGAAGTTCTAAGGACTCGTCCGTTCAGCTGTTACAATAAACTCGAGTACATTGACACTTCGCACGAGAGCCATCATCATTGTGTCCATTGGCTGTCACAATAGTTTTAACGATACACAAAAAGCATTGTGTTCTCGTGGCTCAACTGTCAAGTTTTCTATCAGTGCACGACAACTATCTCGCCACGGTTTCGAGTTTGATACGTGTTGTCTTGTATCTCGACTCTCTTGCCTTGATTGTAGAGTTTGAGAGGAGATTGTAGCCATGCCAGCCTCAAAGAAACGCATTCAGAACCGCGGTACGCTTAATGTAGGCACGCAACAAGTACCGGCAGCTCTGAAAGACTGGGTACATATCTGGCACGGTGTCAAGGTGAATAATGGATTGGAAAACACGTCCATTTTTCACGCTGGTTCCCGCATCGAGGAGATGCCGTTTTGGAAACAATTCATTCGATTGCCGTCCAATTCGCTTTTTCCAAGGGTGTTTACAAGCTTCAATCCACGAAAACCGTACAAGGATTTTCTATATGTGCTATTGAATATGCGTTGGCCCATGCTACTGATGGTGCTACTGGCCATTTTCATGGCTAATATTTTCTTCTTTGCAGTCGTCACGTGCTTTATCTGTGGAGAACCGACACATTTTTTTGAGGCTTTTAACTTGAGTTATCAGACCTTTACAACCATTGGATTCGGTGTAGTATATCCCACGAAGACGTGTGGAAATATGACCATGTCAGTCGAGTCGTTTGCATCCATGATGGTCGTTTCGGCTCTCACGGGTCTCGTGTTTGCCAAGTTTGCCAAGCCACAAGCGAAAGTCGCTTTCAGCAAAGTTTGTGTGGTGCAGCCCTACGGTAAGAAATACTTGGCACTCGTCGTGCGAGTAGCGAATGCCACACAGTCACGAGATGTGACGCACGACGTTATCATGGAGGCTGCATTCAAGGTTAATTTGCTGCGTGTTGAGCACAAGACGAAGCAAGTTCGTGCTCATGAAGATGAAGTCACGCTAGAACGGAGACGTTCTCAGCCGATTCATCATACACCTATGACATCGAACGGTGACAACGCGGTGAACGATCCCGCTTGCTCAACAAAAGTATTAACATCGTACAACCTCAAGCTACTGCACTATAATTTCATCACATTTCGCATGGGCGTGGCCGTAGTGCACCTGATTGATGAGAGCAGCCCGTTGTACGGGATGTCGGAATCCGACATCGCCCAGTCTGATATGCTTGTCGAGGTCGCTATGACTGGCGTCGACTCCACACTGCAGGACACAGTTTCCGAGCGATACATTTATACAGCAGCAAATCTGATGTGGGGGTATCGTTTTGCAGAGCTGATCGAGTTCAACGAACGAAATGCCGAAGTCATCATGAACTTTGTAAAATTAAGCACAGTGGATCCTGCCCCAATCGATAATGCTCGTTATCTCGAGTCAATTCTCTCAAAGAGTGTACCTCATGTCAGCCCCAGGGCTGAAGACATCGGATGTACACACGATGTGGCCCACCGGCGCTCACATCAGAAGTTAAGATTGTCTCCTGACCAAGAAGACAAATATCTTTATCATGCTGAACCCACCCGTGAAGCTCTATCGGAGGATTCCGAACAAGTCAGGCTTAGTTCGAGATCCGTATCTTGGGACGGGCAATCGTCTGCTTCGGACAATGATGCACCGGCGTTTCTTCACCCCCTTGTTTCATTCTTGCAGAAGACTGGGCCGCAAAAGTTTGCCATGGAACTTGAGCCACTATTTGAACCATTGCTACAGCATCCATTTGGAACACAGAGAATACCGAAAGCTCCGTCAGCCGAAAGACGTGCTGCTCAGAGAGACGGCTTGCGAAATGGGAAAGAGAATGAGCTGGAAATTGGACGAGTCGGACGTAACGGAGAGCAGTTGACATCAAGTGATGACTCACATGTTCGTGCTCTATATGGTAGTAGGGCTTCTCACAATAGCGACGTGGTGCAAGACTCCTGTGAAGGTCCCCATGGCTTCCGATCAAGAAAATGGCTCCAACAAGAAATGGCAGGGTCTGCGATGATCGAGGATGACGCTAGCACAATTTCTCACGAGGAAGGGCAGAAAGCTAAATTTGTCAATACTTTCGACATTGACGATGTTGATGATGATGAGTATAACTCGGACGATGGTCGGAAAAATGATTCTATACGTCAGCGCCATCCTGTCGAGAGGATGACGTCCGCTATGTCAATTGAAGTAGAAGACACGCCTCGTTTCTTGCGCATTCTGCCCGTCCACATCCCCAAGTCTTTCAGCTTTATGCGGTTTTACCAGAGTGCTCTTTATGTCCGCTGGCCGAAAATTATTCTGGTGTTTGTGCTGTCATTCCTCGTCATTAACTTCAGCTTTGGACTACTGTACTGGTTTGACTCGGATCATATGGCAGTTTACAACGACATGGCGGTCTCGAAGTATGAGCTGGCGTTCTACATGAGCGTTCATACACTGGCGACTATCGGCTATGGATCAATTGCACCAATGCCCCACTCGGTCTACATGAACGTCGTTGTATTCATCGAGTCAATGATCGGGATTATTACGGTGACAATCATTACTGGCATTGCTTGGTCAAAGTTTGCTCGACCGCGAGCACACATTCACTTCTCGTCAAAAATGACCATCTCGACCATCTACGGACACCGGTGCCTTGTCTTTCGTGCTGCTAATACACGACACTCCGGCGAGGTGCATGAGAATTTCTTCCGCATTGGTGTGATTCTCACAAACCGGCGCACAGGATTACGTCAGATGTACGACGTGCCGCTTCTTACAGCCGAATGGCCGTCCATTAAACTTCCAGTGACACTCATTCACGTCATTAATGAAAACTCGCCATTCCACAAATTTCGCTCCATGAAAGACTTGTCTCAGTCCCGCGTAGCAGTTATCGCATTGCTCACGGGCCTCGATACAACCTTTTCGGAGAATGTTTACGCACGCAAAATGTACTTCTGGGATGACTTTGTATACGACATGCGCTTTGACGACTGTGCTGTCATTGAACGGGATCGCGTTAATGTAGACTACGAACGCTTTGATCGACTCATTCGGGAGGACCGAGACGAGCAGATTGTCACGACGCCTGTGCTCTCAAATGAGGACTGCAAATGACAATTTAGTTTAACAAACTGCATAACAATCTCGCTGAACATATTTGCGACTCATTTGAGTGCGATGATGACTTCTTTCATTGCAAGTTATTAAGCGGACCGCGCTGTATCCTTGGTTTACAAACGCTAGAGCAATGCGGCGTAGTTATGTCTACCAGCGACCGCGGCCACCACCGTAGCCACCACGGCCACGACCACCACCGCCACCGCCACGGCCCACAAGATCGCGCAGCTCACGGGGCACCTCTTGTCCTGCCTCCTCCATAATCTTCACCAGAGGTCCAGCCAGTCTTCCGTTGTTGCTAGCCGTGAAGAAGGAAATGGACGTACCCTTGTTGCCTGCGCGTGCCGTACGACCGATACGGTGAATGTAGTCCTCAATGTTTTTCGGCATGTCAAAATTCACCACATAGCGAATATCTTTGATATCCAGACCGCGAGATGCCACATCTGTAGCAACCAGAATTTGAGTCTTGCCTTCCTTGAACTCGCGCAATACGTAGTCACGCTCTTCCTGCGATTTGTTACCGTGGATCGCCTTGCACACATAGCGGGTGTCGCGAAGGTTACGGCTGAGCTCGTCGGCACCACGTTTCGTCTCACAAAAGATGATGATACGACCGCCCTCGTAGACGTTGCGCAGATGCTCCTGCAACGCAGAATACTTTTGGTGGTCGTCCATAACTTCCACAATCTGCTTAATCTTTTTATTCGCAGTAAGATCCAGCGATCCCACTGTCACCTGAATAAAGTCCGTCAAGAAGTCGTTCGAAAGTGAAACAATTTCTTTTGGCCACGTCGCTGACCACATCAACGTTTGACGATCAGGGCGGATCTGGCTAACGATCTTGCGCAACTGTGGCTCAAAACCCATATCAAGCATGCGATCAGCTTCATCAAGCACCAAGTAAGTCACACGGCGCAAATTCGTCTTGCCCATGCTCAGCATATCAATCATTCGACCAGGCGTACAAATGCAGATCTCCACACCACGACGAAGATCAGCGATCTGGCCACCCTTAGGGACACCACCGTACACGCACGTGTTCTTAATCTTTGAACTTGCACCAAACTTGTTGCATTCTGCTTGAATCTGAACTGCCAGTTCACGTGTTGGCGCAATAATCAGCACAATCGGACCATCTCCTGGCTGAAGGTAAGGCTACATGAAGTAATAAAAAGACAGCACAATAATCGTTAGCGCACACATACAAACAACCAAACAAGGTTGCACGAGATAGCAAACACAAGCGAGCGCCGAGGGATTTGAGGTGTTCGTGTGCTGCTTTTTCTTCTGGCCATCGCCCACAACGCACCAATGCAATTATCGCACGGATCGATTGTCAGCAGGACATCGGCGAAAGAAGAAAAAGGCAGCCGTGCGAGAACAATCTGTCGAAGTTGTGGGTGGATCCTCTCTCTTCTTCAAAAAAGATGCGTGTTGCCACGACCATATTTCAGCAACAAGAGGGACCTGTCTCCACCAACTCGACCAGCATTTCAACACCACAATCCTGCGATCCAAGTCAACAAGTGTGTACCGAAAGCACATAAACGACGATCAACGAGAGAGCGAATAATACTCCTCCTCATCAACGTGCATCCACGTGGATCGACCACACCCTGAAGACCGTGTCAAACCCCGCGCCACACACGTGTGTTCCGTTCACCAGCATGAACGACCGTCGTGTACTACACACAACTTTGCTCTTCACTCTCTTCTTTCCATCAGCGCATAAGCGCCATGAAAGATGCTTCCATCAATGACCATAATTCTCTTTTAAGAGTCTGTTGCAAACTACGAACCTGTGCGTTAATGTGCACAATTGCAGGTAGCAAAAAAGCCAGCGTCTTGCCCGATCCTGTCGCGGAAATACCGACCATATCACGTCCAGAAAGAGCCATGGGCCATCCTTGACATTGAATCGGCGTCGGCTTGTCAAAACCCAGACGCACCACCTCTTCTAACACGTATTCAGGGAACGACGCTTCTTCAAACGACATGACACACTTAGGGACACCTTTACCAGACACAATGATCTGGTGTTCTCGTTTCCAGCTGTCGTATTGATCCTCCGATCGCTTCGTTACGTCTGGATGTTCATAGTAAAAGTTCTTCTCGAATACTGGAAGCTTCGACAAATCCCATTGAATGTGTGTATCCAAATTCGAGCCAAGATCGGCGCCTCCTCCAAAGCCGCCTCCGCCTCCTCCAAAGCCGCCTCCGCCTCCTCCACGACCGCCTCCACGTCCCCCACCGTAGCCACCACCACCGCCGTAACCGCCACCACCACCTCCGTAACCGCCGCTGTACCCGCCGCCTCCACCGCCACGGGAGCCGCCACTGCTACCGTAGTCGCGACGTGAGGAAGAATCGTTATATCGGTCACTACCGCCACCGTACATGATTTATAAAAGAGTGATGGTCTTTTGAGATTAGGGGATAGGTTGCGCACGATCAGTCGTTTTGACGAATGAGCAGCTTGTGATATGGGGGAGGGAAGTGAACACTTTAGACGGGTGACAACGAGACGGGCTTTGGTTGGTTGCCGACGGACGGGATTTCGGCCAATCAGGGACTGCAACTAGATCGATTGGACAAACGAATAAGATCTTGTTTTGAGCACGCATAATCGGTACTAAAAATGGGTCTTTGTCTCGCGTTGAGTAAGTTTTGTTAGGCCTTTTTAGGCCCTCTACGCTTAAATGGTGCGCTCATACGACGCAAACTGTTGATGAGCCTCCGAAATGCTCACTTCGATCTTGCACACACCGCGCTCCTGTACCCGATAACACATCAGATAAGAGTAAATTAGCACTACCAAAGTGCAAAGTGATGGCAAACGTATCATACGACATTCGTACCAAAAGTGCAACAAGCGTGAAAGCGTCCACAAGTTGATTGCTCTGATACAAGTGCAGCAAAGTTGTTGTATAAGTTATCAAAAATAAGAAGATACATTGTTGCATAAAACCATGATTAATACGTACGATATAAATGGCAAGCTCCTCTGCTGACGAGTGCATAATAGGCAACAGTGAGCAATCGGACTTGGGAAAGCTAAGGATCACGTGACAAGAAACAAGAATGCTATTACATTGCAAGATTCTGATTCCACAAACATTGCGACGGACCTGAACTCGGCCATGTCTTCCGTGATAATATGTACATTCGTGCTATCAAAGGTAATCTATAGCACAAAACAACATCAGTATCAATCACACCAGCGAGCAATCCAGACTTTTCGATGCCAACAATCAAGCACAACTACTTACCTTCAGAGCATCGCTGTTCATTGGCACAAGGAACGATTCATTCAGATCCTTGCAGATGACCCGCGAAATCTTCTTAATCTCACCAAAGTCTACTACGTAGCCATCAGGGCCAATTTGTCCAGTGATCGTTACGGCCAAACGATAGTTGTGTCCGTGCAGCTTTTCCCGAAATCCCTGTTTTAGAACACACAACCAACCAAGCACGACTCAGATACAATCCATTTGTTGCTCTCTTAGTTCACAACTGTCATCATACCTTGTACGCAATAAAATGCGCTGCGTTGAATTTCATGTAGTCCTTTGATACATGCACCTTGAATACTTCATTGTATCCACTACCCATGGAGTTGCGTGTTGAAGGCATACGAGAGGGGGCCACCACAATGACATTAGTCGGCGCTGTGGATACTGCGGGAACAACAGCAATATCAGCAGCAGTTGTCTGTTGTACCTCTGGTTTCACAGACTGTGATACAAATTGATCAGAGGTTGAGGAGCCACTGGTCGTCGACGAATTGCTCCGAAACGGCTGAATTTGAACCTTAACATCTTCCGGAGTCTTGGCACATCCACGAAGGTGTGAAGCCCATCGATCTACGTTACGTGATGATATCTCCTTGTCACAGTAGCAGCATTTTACTATTCCTTCAGATATACCACGTGTCACATACATCTTGACAATAGCCTTTTGTTCTAAAGTAAGTTCTTTCCCCATGGGTCCCGTACCCTCTTGATTACTTTTCCGTCTTTTACTTTCTGGTGTGGTTGAGATTGTCGAAATTTCCTCTTCAGTAAACTTTTTCTGCTCGTCCTCGTCAACGGATAGCATGTGGCTAGCAGAGGCAGACGATCGTCGAGCTAAAGCACTGGTAGAACGCTCTCCTTCATGAAAATTAGCGTTGAGCGGATATGATTGGAAGAAAACATCACCTCAACTGATGTAGGCTGAATAATTTCATAAATAAGACAATGCTGAACAATGAAGTTAATGTGAAGAAGGGAATATAAGAATACAAGACTGTTAGGCGAAAAAAATATATATATATAACAATCCATGCTCAGCAACTAGCGCGTCATCGACATTTGGTAACACACATCGGTGGTGGCGCTCTATTGTTCAGAGACAGCACGAGGCACAACACTCAGGAAAAAGTTCATGCTCACACCTAGTAGTAGGCCAACTTTTTGCTTGCGAGGAACGGAGCGGTCGAGAAGCTGTGGACCGAAAAACAATCACGTATTGTTAGCAACAACACAATCAAACACTTTAAGAGAGTAGTCCGGATGACTCACCATCAGAAGCATAAATACACCAAGCAAAAGGCCCATCAAGAATCCCCAGAGAAATTCCGTGCCGGTGCCTTCGTTATCTGCTGCTAAAATCGAGCTGTTCATGCCATTCATGTCAATCTGCGCATCCATCGCAATACGAGCCGTAGGTACAACATTGAGTGCTGAATAATAAAGCAAGCCAAACTGTCGGTAAAGTCATACAAATCCACCTCATTAAAACACAAACATACATACCGAACTCAGATTGTGGTCCTTGAGACGCCATCCACTCGTCTTCAAGTCGATAGATCCGGTCCTCACTGCTCTCTCCAGAAACACGTTCTGCTTGACTAATGTACACCGAGAGTTGCGGGTAGAAATACAGACGCAACGCTTGGACCTCTTCTCGACTAAGTCGATCACGAAGTCGGTCAAATCCTCTTCTTGCCGACAGCTCATCGTTTTCCTCTATGTCGCTATCACTAGCAGCCATCTGGAACACATCATCAGCCAGTTAAGACCTCCCTCCCACACACAAACGACTGATCAAACGAAATGGCTACAACATCATCGCACCTGATTGACAACCATCTTTGGAGGTGCCGAGCTAATGGCACAGTGGACAAAGTCATCGTTCTTGACCTTACAACTTTCCAGTGTCACTCGATCGTTCGATAACATTTTTCCTTGATGAATCAGACGCAAGAATTTGCCCTCTGCGTTCGCTTTCGTCTTGACAAGATCCTTGAGCTCCTTTACAGTCGCCGACGGCGCAATCTCCACAAGTAGTGGCTTTTCACTGAGTGTCTTGATCTTTACCACAATGTTTTCATTAGTATTGTCTCCATGGATCGTAAGACCCACGGAATCCTCGACCAACTAGACAAAATCGAAAAAAGACAGACTACAAATCAACCATTTCTCCTCAAACTATTATAAATTGAAAACAACCACCACCTACCAGTGACTGCTCATCAATCATATCCTCAATGTATTCGGGTTCCATCATCGTATTTAACTCAAGCTACAGGCGTTCGCACGCCTTTCACACGACCGCTTCGCGCCGCGACTGTTTGACCTTTAAGGTTTCGTACTCAGTATATTTGATGTGGTTAGGGGTATGCAAGCCAGTTAGCTTATGTATTGGTTATCTTGATTTTTGTCGAATCATTGACGTCGAGATATAAAAATACCACGGGCAGACGGGACGTGATTGATCATGTAAATGTTGCTATTGATTGATGTGTCTGGATGTTGTACTTAAGTAGATTTTTGTGCACACTTACTTTTGATCGGGTGATACTTCAGGGAGTTGTAGAATTTTGTCATTCGACTGTCGTATAATTTCTCCTTGTTGTAGGTGATAAATGAAAAAGTTATGAAGTTTTTTGGAAAATCGGTTTTCGGTACTGAGAGAAAAACACACTGATGTCGACAAGCTCGAATAGATTGGATGTTATGGACGAAATTAATGAGCTAGTACTGCACCTGTCACAGGAAAGGTGCAACGAAGGCGTGTGTTTGCAAGTCGGTGAAACGTGTCTGTAGCACTGAATGTTGATACGATTCAAGCAAATGCACGAACCGGTCAGAACCCTTTTTTGAGCGTGCCTGAATGCCATTTTGTGTTGTGCCTGCATGAATCTTGTGCTTTGGTTATTGTTCTCAAAAAAAAACCATCGTACGTTCTCTCATCAGGTCGCAAATGGTGTCTGTCCTCAAGCAACCTTGGCTCATTATAGGCCCTCGAAAATGTCCATGTCTAGACTTCGGTCTTTTCCGTCATGAATCGGTGTCATCCTCATCATCAGTATCGGAGGAGGCATGGTGACGCGCTACGGCTGTTCCAGTACGATGAGTTGGCGTGTGAATGCTGACTCCAGTTGAGTTTTTGCCAATGCTGCTCCCTACACTCCCAGCACCCTTGTGCTCGCTCGTCCTGGATCGAGTGCGGATCACCAGCGCAGCTTCTTTGGGCTTCTGATACTGATGCGTGCTGTTTTCACTGGACGAGCGTTTTGCACGTTGGGCTTGCGTCTTTTCTTCACTTTTCTTCGCCAAGAAGTTCTGAATAAGCTGGCGCTCATGCTTACCCATGTACGTCACTTCCACATGCATGTCAATCACCAAAAAGAGCTCTTGATACTCGGTATCCATACGTACGATTGTGTCAGCAGGAGAGAACACGTATGTAACCACTTCGAGAATGTCAATCGAGTCACGATGATATGGAATACGTGCAAAGCGTAGCCGCTCAGCTGCCATTGACAACGCAGCGCTAGCAGCTTCCGCCAAATACGTCTCAAGGTGGTTATCCTCCTCTGAGGTTGAAATTATTACCTCACGTCGCATATTCTTGACAAAACGCCACGACTTGCGATCCACGTACACAAATTCAACAATCCGGTGATTAATTTCTAAAGTCTCCGGCTCTGTCAAGATTTCTGCAACAATGCTTCTTCCTTCGTACACTGCCAGTTTCGATGCCTCGACGAGCTTTTGGCCATCCACCAACACGCTTGTCATGGTGTTTTGACGCAAATCGCGTAGACGGATGTGAGATGGAGTCAGATGTCTGTCTTTCGCATTCACAAAGTTTTTCTCCACCAACTCATCCCACACTTTTTGACGAATGTCTTCGACCAGCATTTCCTCGCTAATAACGATTTGGCTCACAAACTTCAGCAAGGAGTCATCCTTCCCTGTTGCCACTAGCACTTCATCGATATCAAACAAATCCTGGCTGTCGTTGCTATCTGGTAACGCGTTCGTAACGATAGGCTGATCCTGGCGACTGCTGTCGTCGCTCTCTGTAACCGGTTGATAAAACATCAGTCTGAAGTTATACTCCCCAGTGTTCAGCGGAGTACCTTCCAATGCAAAGACCGTATGATTCGACCCGATCGACAGTTTGGAAAGAGTGCTATCGATCGCCTTGATTTCTACGCCTGCACTGTTGATGCCACGTAAAAGCTTAAACGCGTTCGACGGTAGCCCAATTTCAGTGCCTATTCTCTCCTTCAACACTCGAATTGTCTCTCGTCTGTCGATACGCATGGGCTGCGCTGGGTTTGACAGGAACTTAAAGTTGACTGTGATCATGTTAGATTCGCGCTCAAAGAACGCCTCAGCAGGTGACGCAAGCGTAAGGTCTGGCGTCTCCTCGAAGTACAATTCCATTCCGTTCATAAGATGTAGATCCATCTTCAGCCGCAAGCTTAGCGTACGCTTTTCTTCATTTGCATTTAATATATTGGCCGCGGAAACGCTGTATGTCGTTGCACTTTTCTTGATTAGGCGAATTTTACGATCCGCTACAACCGAAAACTTCTTTGCAATCAAAGCACAAAGAGACGCAACATCTGCTTCTTCGTCCGCCTGAACGCATCTCACCATCAGCAAGTTTTTGGATAGCTTGCTAGCGTCGTTTAACTCTGGATCCATAAAGCGACGAATGAAAAGTTGTAATTTCATCGGGTCATACTCTTCCCATTCCTCGTCATCGTTCTTAACTTCAAGGAAAATCTGTTGGCCTGCGTAGATTCCTAGCGATGACAACGGCATATCTTCCCTACCGTTGTACGTCTCCGATAGCATACAATTATAATCGTTGTATCCCCGTAACCTCACGTTCTCTATCGAAGGAACGATAACATCCTTCTCCTTCGCAAATTCCTTGCAAGCTGTTTCCAGCGCTTCTCGCACTGTTGAAGTCTTGTATAAATAAATTGCCTTCTCAATGTTTTTGGGCTTGGATCCCTTCATAAAGAACTTAACTTGTACCTTTTTTGTCATCTCTAGCCGCTCCTGTTCAAGTCTTTGTATCGTTTCTTCCTCAGCGCGGATCTTGTCTTTCAAATACTGAGGAATACTCTCTGGTAAAATCACATTGACATTCTTTTCAGCAGAAACTAGGCGGTATAAGAGCATATATGCGCACGTGCTGTAGCGCGTATTATAACCAGAGCCACTGGCGCCGCCAAATGCTGTTTTAAGTTCCGTGTCAGATATTTCACTAACAATGGAATCATTGAAGTTATACCACCTGCCCGACTCCATCGACTTTATGTACGCATAGTAATGACCACCCAGCGCGCTGCCAGAGTGGACAAGCACAGAGTACAACTCATACACATGGGGTCCTGAGCGCTTGATCATGACTTCAGGGTCAAACGAAGGACTCCACGTGTCGAATGAAGCAACACCATGTATGTCATCATCCTCATTACTTTCATCCTCCTTTTCCTCGCATTTTTCAAAACTTATCGGCTGTGATTCATCCATAGACGACAATCGATGCAATCTTTCACCCATTGCTGCAAGATTTAGCGTTAAAGGAGGTGAAGAAGACGTTGTTGGCGTCAAATCTTCAGTTGATCTGCGGTAGTTTTTGCCTCCTAATTCATGACGTTCCATCGACATTTTTCTGGCAATTTTACCTGGAGCACCACCATTTTCGTCGCTCACGTACGAATTCATGTCCAAATACTTTGGGAACGTCACTTTGTTGTGCAGTTTAATGCGGTTCATCGTGGCATAATCAAAATCAAAGCGTTTCAGCTGCAGCATCAAAATATACGGCAGCTTTGAGAACTTCAGACCCTTGATTGCATTTCGTTTCACCTTGCATCGATCACACACCCACTGATTCTCTTTGTCCAGTACTTCCGGTCTCAGAAACAGTTCAATAGCTTCCTCGACCGTTTTCATCATCTCTGTCGATCCAAAAGGCCGAATGACTAGAGACAAGTCGAGAAAGTTATCAATCCTCGAACTTTCATATCCACAGTAACAGCACTGCACGTAATCCTTCAACAATCCCTGGTATAAATCGTTTACAAGATTTTCATTCACCGTATCCTTGAACGATTTCTCCAACGCATCCAACAGCACTCGGCACAGTTCCTGCACATCATGTTGCTGGAAAACGTCACCTCCCGTCCATCCAAAGCTTTTTGTCAAAGCTTTAGTAGAAATAGCATCCTTTGTTGTCAATTGCAGCTTGGCAAATAGATTTTGCAATTGCAATGGAATATTGTCTTCATCTGCCTCTTCTTCGTCTTCTTCTACTTCTTTCTCCTCTTCTGTCATCTTCTTGGCAGCATTGTGTCTTGTCCATGTGTACAGTCCTTGACGAAACTCTGGTGTCATAAACATGCTCTGTAGCAGGCTGTTCATATAGCATGTCGCTCCCTGATTTGACAGCCCCGTAAAGGCCTTTCGGGGTCTATGATAGACCCCAGAACTGCTGTAATTGCTGCTTTCACTGCTCGTATTTCCTGACGATTCATAGAGCCCGTCCAGGCCTGATGAGCTGTACGTGGTCAGCGCTGTAGACTGCACACTTGGACTTGTTCCAGTACTGTCTTCGTCTTGGGCACGCGGTAGCTGCGTGAGCACGGATGATACCTTTGCCCGATGCTGGTCACGAGATCTCAAAAGTTCGTCGTCTTCACTGAAATTCGTATCGCCCGAAAGTTTTAATGGACTTGTTGGCTTCCAGTCGCTCATGATCACTCTGTAAGGACGTTATGAAGGACTTTCAGCGATCTATGGAGATCCTGAAACTGATTGTGGGGGGAAGAATGGTGGTGGACCGATACATAGAATAAGAGTACCGTAGATATTCTCATACGATGTGACACGAATGTCACGTTATTGACGACATGAAATACAAGACGTGATGCTGGTCAACAATTGTAGTCTAGGAATATCATCATCTGCTCCACAACATATTGACGATTTTTATCAACTACTAGATCATACGAGGCATCGGAGACCTGTTCTTTGCCAGCGGCAGCTCCTCGTCTGAATCTTCCGAGCCATAGTTGGCTCTGTTGTGCTTGAGCGTAAATGTGTCGGTGAGGAAATTCCTCTCACCGGATCGTAATTTTCCTTTTCGCCACATTATGTAGCACCCGACCATTGCAACGGCGTACAACATGGCTACGAAGTATCACCAAACAAAATGAAGTATTGCAAAGTATACCCCGCCCGCCCGATCAAACCATATACCGAGACAGCCATACATTCACACACAAAGACATGAGTTTTCGATTAACAGAACAAACTATTGCGTTTAAAGGTCAATACTGCCATGGACTTAGAATAAACGTACCGGCTTCAAAGCACGAGTTGGCCCCAGAGTTTGGCGTCTTGGTGTTAAGAATGTACATTGGCTGCAACTTTAGCAGCAATCCCACTACCACCTAGAATAGTCAGCATATCACAAGGCAGTACAGATATTAGTACAGACATTACTACGATTGCGGAACACTATGCAATTATCATGAACGTCACGTCAGTAATTGTACCAGGAAGACGAAGCCAACGAAACAGAAAATGGTCCCACACAAGTAGGCTGCAATGGGCAAAATGAATACCAAAGTCAAATACGTCATATGGTTCGATCAGAAACGGAACGAAAGGTACGATACAAAGCGATTCAAAGCAAGACGTACGTGTTCCTGCCATGTTATTGTTGTATACCTACAGTATGTGCCTTCTTCTCTTCTTCAATAAATGGCCAAACCAGCTGTTTACGCCCTGCAGAATATTAGCCAACACAATTTGAGAGCGGACTGACCCATTGTGATGTACGGCACACCGATCCTTTCTGTAGTTTAAGCAACAAATGATAGGTCTTCCTCCAAGAAATTATGGGTACACTGGACATTTCAGTAATTTACCGGGAATAATAAGGGTTAGACTTTATACAAAAAAGACGTTAAGCAAATCGATAAAAGATAAAATGCTATAACCTAGCGGAGGTTATAACTATCGAGGGCGAAGGAGACTGTATACTCCTAAGAAAGTTTATCTAAAAAGGTTTATTGGTTTAAATAAAAAGCCAGATTACCCTGTTAATATGATGCGATTCTCACATTTGTCTATCTCTATATTGGTCGATTCTTATATTTGTCGATTTGTGTCGTTCTGTTTAAGGCAATCTCATTTACGAGCTCGAGATTAACGCAAATAGTGCCAGACAAATGTTTGATGATCGTATAATACAAAATAGCGGTGTAAATGACTGAAGTCGTAGGATCTTTTAATGCGGTCCCAAATTAAAGCATTAAATGGAACGCGGCTGCTGTACCGATACACTTGGCGCGTGGACCTTGCTAAAGAATCGTTGGCGTCTATTACGATAGCAAAACCGTCGTGATCATCAACTATGGTTGAAACTCTGCTAAGCCCTACATCCGCGTACTCAAAGGCAACTACGCCCTCATACAGCACCAAACACGGGCCAAGATTACGTCGAGCAAGACAGTAGCCGCGCACCCGTGTGGCCTCCAGGTTTGCACTTTGCCTCAATTGTCACAAAGGTGGCTCATCTCGTCACGAAACAATACATGTGTTTGACACGCCTGTATAGGGCTACAAGCTTGCAGACGATGTCACCGTGGGCATTGATATGTGTCTAAAACTTCGCATTATGGGTGATGAGTCCAAGGTAAAGATCCAGAGCTCGTACGTCGATATGTTTACAGGCTAGGTCCAAACGGGCTGGAGGTGCAGCTCCGCGCAGCTCAAGATGAATCAGTGCGGGCACTCACTCGCAGTGTGGAGCACACGGAAGTGTACCAGCTTCATGACGGCACGATGTGACAACGATCCAAGACGGGAGCTCTCGACTTTCGCACAAATAGACCAGCTAATCCACGAGTTCCACTCACCCACGAATAGACCAGCTAATCCACGAGCTCCACTTAACCACGTGGAAGACGTGGAGAAGCTGTTCTACTGCGTCACAGAGAACATCAAACATAGTCCGGTCACACGTACGGCATACAGATCATCAGCGTTGTCATCACGAACGTCACGCTTCCTCTGGAACTCAGAAGCAAATGCTGAGTCGCACGACGCATGTGAGTGCCATAAAGAAGCAAAGCATGAAACCGATGAGCGACGTGCAGATGTTGCAGTACAAGGAGTAGATTGACACGACGAAGCTCAATCGATAATGCGCACACTCTTCTCGCGGATGAGGAAATTAGCCAGAAGACCACCGTGACTTTAAAAAAACGAGACGTGAGGCATCATTAAAGATCGCCGAGATTGAGGCGAAGACGGTACGGATCTCTGGAGAGATCAATGCTCACTGTGACGCCGACATCGACCTCATCATGCCGAGAAGACAGCCCTACAGATGCAGCTAGAAGCCACGACGAGTAAAATTTGCGTCACTTCCGAGTCGAAAGCATAAGCGATAGTCGCTCGTGCCGACGGTGCTGCGAAGAGCAAAATACGCATGTACCACCAAGAGACGTTGGAGATGCAAAAGCTGGGCATGCTTGGTTACTTTCCAAGAACGAGAAGACTGTGATACCTGGCGTTACGTCCAACAGTCTGCTGTCGAAACTCTTGGTGGCAAAATTGCCAGGACAACGTCCTGCTGAACGTCGACGGCTTGATGAGCAAGGTCAGTGGTGGCTAAACGCTTGATCTCGTCCACACCATGCGGCGAACTCGTACTTCGAGTAGTATTGTTGTCGTGCCCCCCCCCCCCCCCTCATAGGAGTACCTTCATATGACGTCAAGATAGAGAAAGTAAGAAATGGCTTCAGTCGATTACCTCAAGGGTATGCCGTATCGTATGTAGCCATGTTTACGTGTACTATGCGCAGAAGTGATGGATAACCGATCACATGCGAAACGTTAGACTTTATTATATCAGTACTTGTTCTTCGATCTCCAGCAATGACCTCCACAAATCTACGTGTCTTATGTCTGCATGGTTTTCGTACAAATTGCCAAGTGATGGAGAGTCAGACGCGAGGACTGCGTGAAGCTTTGGGACCAAAAGCCGTGTTTGTCTTCCTCAATGGACCATTTGATGCCCGCGGACCGACGGACGAGGTAGTCGAGCGAAAGTTCGGTGACACTGCACCCTTCTTTGAATGGTGGGCGACTCGAGAACTAAAGAAAGAGGAGAAAGAGGCCATTGAGGGCGAGGAGGGGGTCCCAAATGGCACCACCAAGCACTGGCACCTCAAGTTCGAGGACATTGACCACGCCATTGAGGATATGGACAAAAGACTCAACGAACTAGGCGAGTTCGACTTGGCTGTGGGCTTCTCGCAAGGTGCCGCCATGCTTACGATTCTGTCCACGTGGTGCCATAAGAAGGGCAAGAAGTGCTGGTGGAAGCTCGTGCTATGTGTGTGTGGCGTAGTTCCACGAGCTATTAACGTGCGGGAACTGTTCGAGACACCCGAGGGGAAGAAGATACTGGTGCCACTCCCGTCAATTCATGTCGTGGGGAAGAAGGACAGTTTGTATAAAGAGTCGTTGCTGCTCAAAGATACGTACATGATGCATTCGAAAGGCAGTCCACTGGAGAGACGGCTGATAGAGCACGATGGAGGACACAAGTTTCCGTCTCCAGAGCTACATCACCAATTGTATATGGACTTGGCCAACACAATCTGGCAGTTCTTCAACGACACACGCCAGAGCTCCGTGGCAAGAATGTAAGGACAGCGAAACGTAGTGTACCGAGTGTGATAGAAAATGACAAACTAAACCAAGTACCGAGCGTTATCAAGAATGACAGAACCATTACGACGTGACAGACCTGTTGCTTCACATTCAGCTCTTATGAGGTGACATGACTACCTCGTCATTGCTGCTTCTTAAAAATGTTAGTCAGCATTACAGCCTTCATAGGTTTGTAGTGGTTATCGTCATTAACCATCTTCTTTTATCCCTTATGACGAACAAACTCGTTTTTATATTAATAGCGAGAGTACATATGTTACGTTCTCGTAGCCTTTCATGCAATAAGCTTAATGTCTTGAGTGCATTGTTAGAGGTAATGGAACCTTTAAAGATACCATTGACAAGTTTGAAGGAAATGGTCCCTCAACGATTACGCATTCCCCTAACGCTTAACTGCTCTACCTTTCAGACAATGCCACTCTCTGCATCTTTGCGCTTGGTTCATCCCATGTACAAGTCTACAAGGATGGGCTAACACTGAACCGTTTTTGCTTACGTCCATGACCACTTCTCCATTAAGCACCAAGCTCCAAAAGAGTGCACAGATGCCATAGCATTCAAATGCCTCTTCCCCTGCATATTACGTAGCTTTCACTGCAACCTTAGACGAACTCAACGATGTCGTCCACGATCACTATTAACCACGTGTCGCGGTGATACGCAACGACTCTAACAACAATTGTGTCCCGTCTTGCAGCGCAGTTGTGCCTGGTCTGATTGGGAAAACTGGCTCGGCTTTGGGTCAGAGCGATTGAACAACTCTATTGGACATTGACGTAGTAAGTTCACTTTATTCTCTGATTCATCGCCTTCGACGCAAGCCACTACACCTGACTGCATCTTCACGCCAAGCTCAGTTTTTGTCGTTTCTTATGGTCGAGCTGTACACCCAAAAAGTCCCCGACATGTCCGGTGGTGCCAAAGTCAATGCCGTCGACATCCTCATTATCACCACGGTACTGCTCTTTACGATGGTGGTGGCTATTGTCGCTTCCATCCAAGCTGGAGAGAGTCACTTGGCCAAGTATTTACCGTGCATTCGTCCAGCTAAACGCAACGTGGACCAAGTCGTAAAATCACCGGGTGACGCCTACGTGGCATCCGAGGCCACCCCCACCAAGAATCTACCTGCCGGTGACGAGCATGGCCCAGAAATCTCTCAACATCGTTCGTCGGCCTCGTTGATTGCGCGTGACGGACCGGATCACAAAAACAATGAAATGTCCAACTTTTTCTTAGCTGATCGAGGCATGCAATGGTACTTTGTCGGTGGAGCTCTATTTGCCAGCAACATTGGTGCTGAACACTTTATCGGAATGGCTGGCGACGGAGCTCGTCGAGGGATTGCAGTGGCCATGTACGAATGGTACGCTGCAATTTTGATCTTGTGCTTGGGCTGGATTTTCTCTCCAATTTACCGTCGCTGCGGCGTGTACACGACCCCCGAATTCCTAGAATACCGCTTTGGTGCTCCGTGCAGACACTATTTGTCACTCATCACTCTCGTCATGTACGTATTGACGAAGATGAGTGCAAGTATCTATGGCGGTGCCATTGTCTTCCAAGCAACTTTAGGGTGGAATCTGTACCTGGGTGCAGGCGTGTGCATTGCTCTGAGTGCTTTGTACAGCATTGCTGGTGGCCTTCGTGCTGTTATGTACACGGATCTGTTCCAGATGTGTATCTTCACTTTGGGAGGCCTCGTACTCTTTTCGTACTCGATGAACCAGATTGGCGGCTTCGAAGGCATCAAGGAAAACCTGGCAAACCAAAACCGCTCAGACTGGTTTCATTTGTGGAAGCCAACGGACGACCCAGACTACCCTTGGACGGGTATGATCTTTGGTCAGCCCATGGGATCGATCTGGTATTGGTGCATGGATCAAGATCTTGTTCAGCGTGTGCTGTCTGCCAAGGACACGGCTAACGCGAAGGCTGGCTGCTCATTCGCCAGTATGCTCAAGACACTTCCGCCATTCCTGATCGTTATCCCAGGCATCATTGCTAGCATCTACTTTGACTTCAGTAAGATTGACGATGGTACCGACGCCGCGTACCCAACATTACTTACAGAAATGATGCCGCATGGCATTATTGGCTTGATGATCTCTAGTATCATCACCGCTATGATGTCTAGTTTGGCTTCCGTCTTTGCTGCGGGCTCGTCCGTTGTCACCAACGACATTTATCTCAAATTTAAACCAGATGCTTCGCACAAGCAGCTCGTGTGGGTCGGGCGCGTAAGTATCGTCGTCTTTGCCGTGCTAAGCTTTTGCTGGATCCCCATCATGCGCAATGGAACAGGTCTTTATGAACAGATTGTTGAGATTCAAAGCTACTTGACCCCTCCCATCGGTATCGTGCTCGTGCTGGGTGTTGCCTGGAAGCCGGCTAACGTGTACGGCGCATTTTCTGCTATGATTGTCGGTGGCTTGCTGGGTTTCTCACGTCTTATCTTCGTGACGATTAAGGACGACAGCATGGATGGTGATCTACCTGTATTCTGGAACACTTTCTTTTACATGAACTTCCAACACTTTGCCCTGTTACTATGGGTCACCGCTTTGGTCGTATGTGTCGTGGTCAGTCTGCTGACACAGCACAAGAACCTTCCTTCAGAGGAGGTGCGTAAGTACATGATCCGCTGGGACCAGGTTCTCAAACTCGACGAAACGGAGCTTGCCAAGCCCATGTGGGTGAACGTACTTGTTGCTGGTAGTGGTATTGCTGCTCTTGCTGTCACGTTTACAATGTGGATTTACTTCGCGTAGGCAAAAAAGTTTACACAGAAAATAGAGAGGAAGGTATGGTTGTTTCAGGGACGCACCGTGTAATAACACTCAAAAAAAATTCATGTCAGTTGCGGTCTTCGTTGCACTCCCTCGATGGGGCGACGTGGTTACATTGCTCACCATTTTCTCACGATGATGTGTTGGTCGTCTGAGAGGGTTGCGACAAATTCAAAAGCACCAAGTTGCGCACTCAGTCCAATCTGAGCACTAAACGTCGTGTCTAGGATCCACCTGTGTGCTGTTTTCATGACCACCGTCTCTGTATAAACGATTTAGCCACAGGTTTCTAAGTTGTATATCAAGCATTGAGCTCAAATTCTTTGTAATTGTGCGTACTGCTGGCAGCATCCGCAAAAACTTTAAACTCATTGTCGTGTAAAATGACATCTTGCGTTGCGATACATTAGCCCACATCGTCGTTTCTTCCAAAAACGCACCGATGTAGAGAAATTGCTGGTTGTCACGCAATTTAAACTTGGTTTTGAACCACGGTTGAGACCAGAACGTCGGCCCACGGATATCTTATGACAGATCGCTCCACGGCACTTCGATCCACATCTTCTCATCAAAAACTCCGTCAATGAAAATGCTTGGTGACAATTAATCGATTGATGATGAGAGATGAAAGGCAGCATAACGTCGTGGATGTAAGTGAGTAAAGTCACAAATGGCCTACCAATCATTCCGATTGAAATGTCAATGGAGGAGTATCAAATGTTGATGATGATGGCGACGCTTGTACTTTATGCACGTCAATCATTGTTAGAAAAATAGGAGGTTGAAATGCCATTAAATGTGGTATCATGACCAGAGATAACAGGACGTGAACGATGACATGCATCTTTCTTGGTGAAGCTTATTTATCTAGTATGGTCTTCACAATTATGAATTTCAGTTTTGGACTATGTATTAACAGTACTTGATGTCGATGTGCTTGGCAGCGATTTTCTAATCAAATTAATGCATGGAAGCACCATGGATTTTGAAAATGACGAGTTGGGTCGCGAATCGTTGGGTGTCGTCATAACCTCGCATAGCGAGCGGTTATTCTCTTTACCTTCTTGAATTGCCAGACTAAGCGCATATGTATTCCACTTCGATCCTGAAAGTAATGGCGCACCCATCTGTATGAATGTGTAACCCGAAGTTAACTTACGATCATCAAAGTCGCCGACCCAGTCTACATCGAGGTATCCTCGAAGCTAATACTTGATTATAAGCAGATGCCATGCTGTAATGGGGCACCCTCCGACTATACTGATTACAGTATAGTCTACTTTCACTGATTACAGTGAAAGCAGGTGCCTCAATTACCTCTCTTACACAAGAGGCAGAGGAAGCTTTACTTCTAAACAAACGCTTAGAAGTAGAGAAAAGGAAAACTGTATTTAATATAGTTAACTATCTTAATAAAACTAATCTGTTATAACCTATGTTAACTATATTAAACTACAACTATGTATGTTGACAACTTGCCCTCCACTCATTGCGCGCGTCCATCGGTCATTGGTCAGCGCGTTGGTTGATATGATGGCCCATATCAACCAATAAGAGGGCATCTCCAACTTCAAGGAGATCTAGGAACAATATTATAAGAAAAGGTAATATTGTCAAAATATTATTAGTTATAATAATATTTTATTGACACTTCATGTAAGTGTCAATATTATGTAACGGGCTCGCCCCGTTACATCACCCCCCCCTCAACCAACAGTCACATTAGTGACTGTTTAGTGACTATGGGAAAGGAGAGCTTGTTGAATTTCTTTCATTCAACAATTACGCTATGACAAAGTCAATGCGCGTCGCTGCTAAGGCAGCCGAGAGCTCGGCTGCACGCCTGTGTGCAGCCGCTACTGAGGCTTCACAGCCTCAGCCAGCAGACACTAATGTGTATGCTGGAAGTCAACATCAGCCTGCAACGCCTGTTGCAGGTTCACGTAGCGCTTCGCCACGTGAAGATGTTGACCCAGAGTTAGTCGTTGACTACTCTGGTGAGTCGGATGACGCATCCGGCTCAAAGCCACCTGTGTCACTCCCGGGCTCTCCCCGGGGTGATACCTCGTCGTCTAATGCTACGAAGAGGGATCGTGGTACATTGAGTGAATCAATGTACCGTGAAATGTTCGGGTCGTCTGATGAATCAGACGACTCGCTAAACGAGTCGAAGGATAGTGACTCGGGTGGGGACCGTAAGGGTGATGTCAGTGCTTCTACTGACATCAATGCTCATAGTGTCGATACTTCTGTTGACACTAATGCTCGTGGTGTCGGTACTTCTATTGACACCACGCAGGAGGCTTTAGACCGCAACGTATTGCGTCTTGCTCCTGATCGCAAGCCATGGATGCTACCTAAGCATCTGCTTGATCGTTGGTCTGGAAAGACCAACGAACGGTTCCCCATACCGTTGTTTGATGCGTCAAAGCTTCATGGCCTTGACGCCAGTGCGAAGAACTTTCGCACTGAGAACGATTATTACATCGATGTGTTCCTTGAACATCGATGGTATGGCCCACACAAGAAGCGTGAGGCTGACGCGTTCCTCCAATCTTGGAACGCGTTTATCACCAACGTTTTAAATGTTGGGAAAGAGGCTTGGTTTCAAAGACTTTTTGCTAGCCGCAATAAGTTTGAGAAACGAGGTACGTCCGGTGCATGATATCGTTTGCACTGGTTATCTAGAGAGGCAGGCCTGTTATGCCTCTCTTGGGGCGACTCATGCCCGGGGTGCCTGAGCACCTCGTCAAGAGCGCCTAAGGAGGCGTACCTCCTTACTGAGCCCTGGTGGAGGGCTCGCATCCCTTCTGAGATACGTGAAGGGATTGCTACTTTGCAATCCCTTTACGAGCGCGCTGGGCGCTCGTTTTTCGATGTTCCTTCTTCACCATCGGGTGTCCCTTGTCGTACTGTTCAACAAGGCCGAGAACGTCGGCCATCAGTTGGGCCGGAGGTTTCCAGCTATCCGCCGAAGGCGGATAGCCACGCCACCGGACGAGATAACTCGTCCGACGTCCCTTCAGCTCGCGGTGCTTTAGTAAGCGTTCCACGAGAAAGCGCTTCCCACCATGGGAGTCCACCAGCGGACGTGGTGGTGGAGGAAAACCCTGTCCGATTCTTTCATCGGACTTGGCTGCTGAGTTAGACGGGTTTGCCCGTGTAACTCGTGAGCTCCGTTGTGATGTTGATCACGAACGGGATAAGCGTCGTCGCTTAGAGGACATTGTGCGACAGCTCGGGTTTGACCATGAGAGGTCTCGGGCAAACAATGCTGTCGCACTATTGGAGAATGAACGGCGACTTCATTCTCTGAGTAACGAGCTGGCGACAGCTCGTCAGGAGATCGTCCAATATCATGGGAAGATCTCATCTCTACACGACCAGATATCGAATCTGGTTCGTGACAACAAGAATCTGAAGGGGATTCTTGAGAGTAATGGCTATCCTTGTCGTTCGAAGAAGCCGCGTACTGAACGTACGGACGAAGACGTCCCACGTAAAACGTAGGATGCGTACGCATCCTGCGTGGCAACTCGATCGTGTATGCGTTGCCTAGGCGGCGCAATACACGAAACGGGCCGATGTACTTGGGCAACAATTTATTGCTGCCCACGTTAGTCACTACATGTTTAGGTAGGTTTACTGTTGACAGTAAAACTAAATCACCTTCAATAAATGTTTGAGCATTTGCCCTTCCATTATTGTCTGCGTTTCGCTTTTTCTTATCCACCGCTTCTGCGATGGAGTCTTGCACGAAACGGACTACCGCTTCACGAGTCAGCAGGAAATCCTCAGCTGACTCGTTGCTTTTGGCTGCAGTGAATTGTGAATGCACTGCAGAGATATCGGTTACTAATTCAGTGAGAACATTACTGTTCTCATTTGTGATACCTCGAACGATGCTGATATCTTCAGCATCGTTATCAGTAAGAGCGTCATCGCTCTTACTTTCTTTCTCTTCACCGAAGTCGAATGGTACGACTTCGGTTACTTTCGCGTCGACCATAACGTCGTCGCGTGATGAGCAAGAGCCGGATTGGTTCTCGCTCGAGCGAGTCCCTCCCCCCCTAAAGTTATAGTCACCCTCTACTAAGGTGGGGACACGTGGATGGCGAAGGCCATTCACGTAGAACGGTGTATGCGTCGTGGACGCATGCACGGAGTTGTTGATGGCGAATTCGACCATCGACAAGAACTCACTTCAGCTCGTAAACGAGTGGACGTACCCTCGAAGAATCTCTTCGAGGACGCGATTGGCGCGTTCAGTCTGACCATCAGTTTCTGGATGGTCAGAAGTAGACATTGTGAGCCGTGTTCCAAGTGTTTGGAACACGGAACGCCAAAACTTAGCCGTGAACCGGGGGTCCCTATCGGACACAAGTTCACGGGGTAAACCGTGCAATCGAAAGATTGTATCGATATATACTCGAGCACAGCCCTCTGCTGTGATCGACTCAGGTACAGCAACAAGATGCACCATCTTGCTGAACCTGTCTACAAACACGAGAATACCATTATTCCCGTGAGCGTCTTTGGGAAACCCAAAGACGAAGTCCATTGATACGGACTCCCAGCACTCTGCCGGAACAGGCAGAGGCTGCAATGGTGCACGGAGTGAAGGACTAGGCTTCACTCGTTGACACACCTCGCAAGCACGCACGTACTTGCGCACAAACTTATACTGGCGTGGCCAGTAAAAGTCGCGACTGACCGTGAGGTAAGTCTTCTCACGGCTGCGATGCCCACTTATTGGTGCATCGTGACATTCAAACATGATCCGTAACCTGAGATCATGTTGTGGCGGTACAACGACACGAGGCGTGTCGTTGTTGACGGCTGTGTAGTACAGTAAGCCGTCCCGCTGGGTGTATCGATCTAGAGAAGATCGATACATGGCAGGCAAGCGCTTCTTAGCTTGCGTGGATGGGTCCTTGAGGTACTCCATCAGGCGTACAAGATCATTATCTTGTGCGCATGCC